AGATTCTTGCTGTGGTCATAAATTGCAAAGAAAACCCAATTATTAAAGCTGTTATATATAATTTTAATACGTTATTCTTAAATTGAACTTTTGAATTTTGATTATCCCAAAATAATCAATACTAATAAACAAAGTTATAAGAAAATAGTTAGAATATTTAGATAAAAGCAAAAACAATGAGATTTTTGCAATATCTATTTTATTTCATAATCAGGTCTTTATTCTATATCATATTAAAACCATAGCAATCCTTCTAAATACTCAATTTCATTTTAATGAAAAAGTTTTAAATAATATAGAGAAGGTATTAAGGAAATTACATTAATTGATATTGATATAATGCTAATGTAGAATAAAGGGTGGCTTCTTTAGGTTAAACAAAGAGAGATTACACATAGAATAAGTTCTACCATTTAATATATAGCAAGCACAAATATTAAGTGATAAACAAATCGAAGTTGATTTTGCTATTAAGAATATTAGACATAGCTTCTTAAACTTTATTCTAATGCCTTTTAAAATTATATTTATCTGGCCTAATGTAAATTGTCTTATTATTGATCTGACACCAATTCTTGATGATGATTCTCATTATTAGTTAAATTTGTTGACATTTATATTATTGTTATTAAATAAATAAGTAAAATAAATATTTTAAGGTTCAAAACTAAAATAGAAAAACTTATATAAGTATTTTATGATTGATTTTAATAATTATATATAATTGTCGTTACCTATAATTCCATAAAATAGAAGAATGAATCAATTTAAAACAATAAAAATGAAACTACTATTCTAAACTATTACTTATTGTTATTTAAACATTATATTAACTTTTATTTATAATTTATCAGAATATTGATAATATTAAATGAAAATGACACATTGTTTAAAGTCTAATTTATTTTAAATTAACAAACTAAATTTCATCATAAAATACTTTCGATTCAAAATGTCTTAGGTTATTGTATTTAAGTGATTTAAGTTAGATGATATTTTTTTATTAGATAAGAAATATAGTAATGTTCAAAAACGAAATAGATAATAATTCAGAATATTATTATAATCTTTATTGATTTTTCTCATATTCTTAAGAAAAAAATGAAAATTTAATTATAACAAATCACTAACGGAATTTATAATCATATTATTCATTAATGTTCAATCTTGGAAGATTTTGATATATAAATACTAGATTTGAATTATGTAATGAAATTAGAAAAATAATTGATTTATTTAATCTGATGACTTCATTAGAACAGGTCCGATAATTATCTAAAATTGATCAAATTTAAATAGCAGGGTTGATCTTTGGATCAGAATAAAGAGCTAAGTATATTTAATTGTTAATGAAAGAGAAGTGAAACAATTTTTAGCTGATTGTGAAAAAATACCAGAAGTCTAAACAAATGCTGACTTTTATAATTGGAGTAGGAAAAAACAATTCTTATCAAAAGATAAATAGGGATTTAGTTTCATGAAGATGATTAATAATTAAGTAATGAGATTAGAATAATAAATAATCTTAGGTTGATGATATGGAATAATACACAGGACCTATGATATATAGTGCTACAACAAATCATTATGGAGTCTATTTAGCAATGGTTGTACCAGCATTGAAGATTTTAGGAACTTAAGAATAAATAAATGCGTATCAATCTATATCATAATTAGTTGGTTAGATGATTTAATTCAAATTCGTAAAGCTGCTTGTTATGCATAAACTGAATTAGGTCATGGATCAGATATTTAAAGTTTATAAACTACTGCTACATATGATAAAGGTACTTAAGAATTTGTAATAAATACTCCTACCATTTAAGCAGCAAAATGTATTCAATTTAAATAAAATTAGTTTGGCCAGGAGATCTAGGTATTCTAGCTAATTGGGCATTAGTTTTTGCTTAATTAATAGTAGATGGAACAAATTATGGAGTCTAATCATTTATGGTTTAAATTCGAGATGAACAAACTCATAAGCCTTTAAAAGGAATAGAAGTTGGAGATATTGGACCCAAGATGGGATATTAAGTTAAAGACAATGGATTCTTAAAATTTGATAATGTTAGAATTCCTAAGTTTAATATGTTGGCTAAATATATTTCAATCTCTCCATAAGGAAAGGTAATGAAAGAAGGAGATCCAAAAATATCATATGCTTCAATGATGATGATGAGGAAATTGTTAAACACTGTTTATCCAAAAGCAGCTGCAATTTCATTAACTATTGCTTTAAGATACTCTTATACAAGATAACAATTCACAAATGATAAAGGAGTTGAGAATTCTGTTATTGAATATTAAACTCAATAACATAAATTATTGCCATTATTAGCCAATTTATTTGCAGTTGTTTTGTCAGGAAATGTTACTTCTAAATTTGTAGATTTGAATTTTACTGAAGTTTAGAAGGGTAATTTCTCACATATGAATGCATGTCATTCATTACTTTGTGGAACAAAAGCTAATTATACTCATTTTGTAGTAAATTGTGCAGAATGGTGTAGATTATCTTGTGGAGGACATGGTTATGCTCATTATTCAGGATTGCCTAGTATTTATTAAGAACATAGTCCAAATGTAACCTTAGAAGGAGAGAATCAAATTATGTTTCTGTAATTGGCTCGTTATTTATTGAAACTATTAAAAACTTCATAAAAAAACCCTGAAAAAATCCCTGAATAATTTTCATTATTTAAAAGAGTAAATAATTATTAATATTTTATTATAGATTAATGAAATCCTATCATTTAAATGTGATCAATTCTAAACATCAAATATCTTATCACTCTTGGAATCATCAGTGATTCATCTTATTACTTAAACTGGGATGAAAATGATGTAAGAAATACAAGGAGGTATGAATCCTAAAGCTGCTTGGGATTATAAATTAGGTAAAATCTATAAATATAATAATAGGAACCTCACTTTGGGAATCAGCCAATTATTTTATAGAGTACTATAAATTTGTTTGTTTCTAAAACACAATTTTATTAGTTACTCATAAATAAACTTAAGTTGTATTAACAAATTTATTAAATCTATTTGGTGTCACAATTCTTTTATAAAATCCTTTAGCCCTTTTAGAAAATGATGTTATTACATAATAAACAATGAAATAATTAAGGGATGAATATGAAAACCTATTAAATTTAATTAAACCTGAAGTAAAAATATATAATATTTCAAGGCACTCTCATTAGTAGAGTCATTCTGCTTAGCAGATGGAGGTCTTAGAACCACCATTGGAAGAGCCGATGGTAAACCATATGAATATACATATGATTGGGCTGTTAATGAGAATTCATTAAATAAAATTGATTTTTCAAATACAGTTAATCAATTAAAGAATTGTAGACCCAAATTATGATTTAACATAAATAATAAATAAAATCTAGTCAAATAAATGCATTTCCACTTATATTTTCCAATATTATTTCCAAAAATCGTTTTAAATCATCTAAAACTTCAGTATTTTGTTTATATAATTTCTCATATTTTTGCTTTTTTTCTAATCCAACTACAATTGCTTAACTTAAGTCTATCTAATCATCTTATTCAAATTTCAATTCCATAGTTTATTAATTTTAAATTATCCTTTTTTAAATGACTTTTATTTTATTTGTTTATTTAATTTCAGGTAAATCACAAAATGTACTAATAAAGAGTATTTACAATAAACTAAATATATGTAAAAATATTTATCTACATTAAGTTTAATGTTGTTAATTAAAATACTTTTATTTTTAATCTTAATTAATAATTTCTGGAATTATTATTGAGAATAGAATAAATTCACTTGTAATCATTTGAATCTCCTTTTCAGATAAGGAAAATACATTCCCATTTAAATATGTTGTTCTTTTAACTATATATAATGATGCAGTCTTATTCTAATAAGAATATAATTGAAGTGTCATCATGAAACATAAAAAATCAGGCATAGAATCTTATCTTGTATGCTATTCAACATTTTTGAAAAATAATATCAGAAAATATATTAACCATTTTTTTTAAATTTCTTAATTTTCTACTTAATTTGGATTAAAATTTTGAGAGAAGACCTTTTTCATCTCTTCTCCAATCATTCCTTGATATATTCGAAGAGTTATTTTACTGACCCAATTTTTGATGATGTCTTATGATTAGACTTAAGTATATTTCTTAATCTCTTTAAATAGTAGTTTAGCTTTTTTATTTTATTCCTATTATTGTTTTTCCTTCTCTTTTCGTTTCTTTCTTATTTTATTATTGTTAAATACCTAATATTTTCTGACCATCTTATAACAATCAATATAACTAGATGACATCTTAAAAATTTCTTCCATAAATTTTACAATTTCTTTTCCTTTTCTTCTTCAATTCTTTGCCTTTCCTTCATTTTTTAGACTTCAGCTGCTACTTCCTCAGGTGACAAGACTTTCTTATTTTAATAATATTTCACTTTATAAACTTTTGGTGTTTCTTCTTTTGCTTAATTAGCAAGAGATTTGATTCTATTTCTTATATAACCTTTAGATTCTCCAATACTTTCAGATAATTGTTCATCATTTGTGTTCTTTAATTTGATTGTTTTGTTAAATTCTCTTTATGTATCAATGATAGGTAATTATGGTTTCTACTATTCTTACTTGATAAGTTGTTCATATTCCATTTTCTTGTACATCATCTACAAATAAAGGTATTTATTGGTTGCAAGCTAAGCTTTATTTTATTCTTCTTTTAATTTTGCTTGTAAAACTTGATTCTCAACAACCAAGTGTTATATTTATGGAAGATTATAGGAATTCTTTACAATATCTAATGTTGGCCTAGTTGTTAATGGATGGATAGGAGACTCAACAGACTTTGAAATTAATCTTGATGCATTCATCTTCATAAGCTTCATATAATTTCCAATTGATATTCCTTTTTCATTTCTATCATTCAATAATAATGGTTTGTAGGGTTCCATGTTAGCTTATAAATACTCATTTAATTTCATATATTTATAAATTATGAACTATGGAAACTCTCTTAAAACTTAAATTACTTTTATTCCTATCAAATTATCATTAGATTTAGGAGTAGAAGCAGAAGTTTTCTTAAATTTTATTTGTGGATCACATTCTCTGACAACTTAAAATGGATGTTTATTTTAATAAAGAGAATGTAATTTTGATTATCAGTAGTTAAAAATCGTAACAACAATGAATATAAAGAAGGGTAAATTTCAAGAAAAGAAAGTATATCCATATATATAATAAGGCAAAAGTCCGTGTTATACTTTAGTATAAAAATAGCTACAAGAAAGCAGGAAAAATAAACTTTGATATTAGTGAATATATGAATTAGCAAATGTAATAGATTTAAGATGAAAAATTACTCATAGATTGTCCTGATTCATCTGCAACCCTCATGTTTTAGCTTAAATTTAAATAGGCAGTTTTGAACAAAAGCAAACTGTACCCTGATATCCAATAAAAATTAATGGAACCTGAATCATTAATTAAATCTAACATCATTAAAATACCAAATATTATTGAAGTTGACAAATGCAATAATTGTTTAAAATTATAAGAATAAATAAAGGAATTAAAAACTTAACTTTAATCAAATTCTTAAAGGAGTACACTATCATAGAGAGATAGCATTTAGATTAGCAAATTATAGATGTTAGAAAATGAGATTAAATGTTAATATCAAATAGAAAGGGAACTTAAAATATTCATAGATAGTTTAGGTAATATTTAATTTTATTTATTAGAGTAGGAATTATTAAAATAAAAACGAATAGTAGCATAGATTATGTAAGAATGTCTTTAAATGGGAGATCCTAAATTGATTGAATTAGTAGAGAACGTAATTTAATAATAATAATGAATTTTGTAATAATATTTTCCAATCCTACATGTATTTTAAATCAATTTTTAGATATAGTGTTTTTAATTCAAACATACATAAACCTAGATATATACTAAAGTTTAAAAGATAACCATGACTTAAAACATGAGGTTGGTTATATAAACTTAACTTTTTCATGCCAAAATTGTTGTGTAAATATTACAACAAAATCTCTCGAAATTCTAATCTATTTTTTTAGATGCAGTTTTCTTATAATTTAGTAGAGAAATCATATCATCATCTTTATATAGTCCTAATATAAGTAGATCATTATTTTATGGATTTGGTATCAAATTTAATTTCATTTTGTTTTCTGTTGATATAACTTAATGAGCACTTAATTTTTGGATATTATTTCTTTTTAATTTGAGTTTATCAAACATTTTAATAAACAAATATTAGAGAAGACTTGCAATTACTTTGAGTAAAAATAAGCACTTTTAATTAGAGTCAAAAATATTTACTAAAATTTAATCAATCAAGATTGATTCAACTAAAATCATTGTTAACTCTTCCTGTTTTATTTATCTATTTCTTGTATGCAAATATAATGTTCTATTTGATACAAATTTAGAAAAATAAGACTTATGATCTAAAAATACTTAACTTAATAAGTAGTATTTCAACTCTTCACAAAAGTATTTAGGCTATGAGAAATAAGCTAAATTTTCTAATAAAAATTAACAAGAGTTAATTGATTTCATCATTGATTAATCCGCCATTTCTTTTTCATTTGGATACTCAATAAAATTGTGTAGTTATTAATTTACTGAAGTAAGTGATTTAGCACAAACTGCTTTACACCATGCATTAATTCGTTCAGTTTGTACTAATTCTAATTTAAGAAAGAATGTAATATTCTTCAATTAAGTTTAATACTTCTTCCAAAGTGAATAGTTTAATGATTTCTTGATCCTTATAGCAGCAATTATAGCAAGTGAAGCTATTTTAAAGTATTTTTTCATATTTAATGTACGTTATTATAAGAGTAAAACTTTAGCTCTTCCTATAAGTTACTTATGCTCTGTTGTAGGTTTTGATATTATTTCTTTAGGTTGAATTATTTTTTCATCATTATTAACATGTATAATCTTTACTTCCTTTTGAACTTCTTGAGGTTGTAGAACTTTAGGCTAATATATCTATGGCTTTTTGTGAGATTCCTACCATTTTCGAGGAGATTAGTCTCGAGATGTTGCTTATTTTTAAATCTTCTCTATATAAAGATTTTCAGAGATGGAGAGAATATCAATATTAGGAGTAAAGAAGGGTTGCTCATATATTGTTTGAGTTTATATGAACTTGATGCTTTATGATCGACCTTATTAAAATTGGCTGTTCATGGTCGATTTATTTAAAATATTAAAAATCATTTAGAAGACGCAATAAATAATTGATACAGTTAAATTTTATTATGGCAAGATATATTATATTTATTTGTAAACCTTTATTCTCAAAATCAACTTGATTACATAAGTTTATATATATATGAAATATTCTTTTTTTTACATTATTTCATATATATATAATTGATTATATTTTACAAAATCTATAAAATAAAAACTAATAAATAAACAATAAGTTTTAGAAATTAAAATGTCGATTATTATATGAATTTATAAAGAAAATATATACAAATTATCATTGAACATTGGTAATGTCTATTAGTTCTCCAATGTTCCTAGCAATTCTTGAAAATTATAAAGTCATTTTTTAACTCCAAAATGGTTTTTATTCAAATAATTCAAGAATACCAGAGTATTCAAAACCTCCAGAAAGGATTTTATTTTCATTTTCATCGATCTTGTCAGTGAAACTGAGAGAAGCAATACAAGGAATTCCCTATTCATTCTTTTTAAGTTGAATAACTTTCTAAATAGGTTTTACATTAGATTCCTTTATTTTTTCAAATTTATTTTCGAAATATTTTGTAAATTAAACCATTAATACACCTATCATTCCAACAAAATGAAATAGAGTAATTAAAAAACTCTCTTTATTACTTTAATCTAATTCATTAACAATATCTAACATATTAGGTATAATAATAGTAAAGAAAAGAAATTCAATAGCTATTAATACTTTTTGTTCTTATGTAAGAGAATGTACAGTTTTTGAATAAAATTTAGTTCTATTGACTACAAATTAACTTGTTTAAGTATTTTTTCCAGAAAAAAGGCATAAATTTAAACTATGTAATATAAATCCTGGTATTATATTTTTTCTTGTTATTAATTCTAAATCTTATAATATTAATTTTATAAAAAAGCATAATCTCTATTTTTAGGTATCTTTTCTTATATCATCTTATTCCCTTTATATAGTTTTACATTCCTTTATGTATTTCTAATCTTTTTGTATTATTATGATTTTTTATAATAACGAATCTACAAATTTTCTTTATTATTATTTGTGCTGTTTAATTCCAAAAAAATTAATATATTTTAAATGTGGTCTTTACTACATTTAAAAATGCTCTCTAGCTATTTCCCTTTCTTGAAATATTTTTCTAATTTTGTAATAAAACAATACTTATATTTTTTTGATAATTCCAATACAGCTATCACTACAAAGACAATAATTCTAAGTTTTTTATTTCTAATTTTAATCTGAGGTTTCGCTTTATAGTGTTTTTATAAATTTAAGTTATCCCAAATTTGATTTGATACTGAAGGTCTATTATTTTCAAGAGTTATAGTTTAACCCCTAATAATATCAGAGTCCTTCATGCTTAAATCAATATTTCTATCTATTTCTTAAGTTTTATAGATTTAAATTAGATCCTGTTATTTTTTGTGTTTAAAATTTTTTTTAAAAAATACCTAATTGTTATTTTGCTATTTTTCAGGAGTGTCTTTTGAATTCACCTCAACTGATTACATTCTGAAAGGTCTATTGAAAAATGATTGATTATTTATTTAAGTTTATCTATAGGTTTATTATAGATCTTTATCTTTATGTAATTTTAATGAATTTCCTTCCAAATTTCTGAGAGTATCCAAATTACGTTCAATTAGTTCATCATATCTTTATTATTTGATTTTTATGTAATTTTCTATTAATTAATTTTCTTTGGGACTACCGAGGCCATCTGGATCTGTGATTAAACTTATAATTGGTTGATTTTGATGATTTTCGTCAATATCACAACATGTCTTAACTTTATTGTAGTCTAGGTCATGTTAGAACAGCCTAAATTTTCTTTCTACCCCTTGTCTAACAACTTAATTTTAAGATATCAACGGAAGATTTAAATGATGAGCAATCAAGGTTTCTCCTATTCTTTCTTAAGGCTTTATTGGAAAGGATAAAGGAGATTATCTACTTGAACTTCTCTCTCGATAGGCTATTCTTTGAGATTTCATAAATGAACAAAATTATTAATGAGAATCATATTAATTTGGGATATTAAAATAGTAGATAAAACAATAATCTGGAACATCTATTAATTTAGATAACATATGATCTAATGTATTTTATTTCTAAATTCTTTCATAATCGAATCCTTTTTAAACGTTGATCTATATGATCACTTTTACTAATAATTAAAAAAATTTGAATCATTTTTAATTAATTATTAGTTCTTTTGTCAATTTATATTTTAAGTGTAGATTCTGTTCTTGCTTATTCTGGTTATCTTATCTTTTTAATTTTTTATCTGATAGATTTTCAGTACTCTAAATTACATTATAACATATACTCCTATTGAAATAGGACAACTTATATATGCTAAATTGAAAGTTAATTATAATTTTATTATACAAAGAATGAGTTCTATAGTGATTTGATGTAATCTTAGAAAAGTATTAAATTTTAAATTCTATAAGAAAATTTTAATAGAAAATATTGAATACTTTTTAATTTAAATTTTATTATTTCCACTACTTAAGACATTATAGTTAGCTTAACTTATGTTAAGGTAAATATTACATATTCCTTATAATAAATTCAAAACTTAACTAAGATTTCTTTAATATTTTATTATATTTTTTTGAAGTAATTTTATAATTTATGTTAATTGAAAATTATACTAGATTTTTAGTCAAAAATGTTTTAGCTCTAAGAAATTAATCCGAATTAGAATGACTTTCTTTAATACTATATTTTTATAAAAAATTATATTATTAATATTTATAATCTAATAAAAAGACTACCATCTTTTATAATTTATTTAATCTTTGATATAAGGTTGAATTAAAAAAATATATAAACAAACCAAAAATAGATATTTTATATTAAAAATGTTTGCTATTTGAATTTTTTGTGAAAAATATATAAGAAAAACATAAAAATAGATATAGTAGGAAAACAGTTCATTAATTATTTATATTAATTCTTTGTATTTTATTAGAAATTAATGTTTTTGAATTAGATCTTATGGTAGTCAATTAAAAATAAACTCAGGAGAGATTAAGTCTCTAAATATAAATAAATTATCTTATTTTAACTTGATAGATTTAAAATAATAATTATTTATAAATAAAGATAAAAGTTAGATTATTCATTCTGCATTTGATATGTCTATTAATGCTTCAATATTACTCACAATTTTTGAAAAGACTTAAGCCATTTCTTTTTGAAAAGCAGGTTTTTCAATAAATATTTTATTAATGAAATTCAACTTCAAATCTCCTGATATAAGCATCTCTTCATTTTTTTCTATATTTGGGGATAATATTAATTTTGTTTATACAGGTTTTTCTTCTTATTCTTCACATATTTTTAGTATTAATTAAACAGGTTTAACATTAGAAGATTCTATATTTGGTAAGTTTTTAAAATGATTTGTGAANTAGATTCTGTTCTTGCTTATTCTGGTTATCTTATCTTTTTAATTTTTTATCTGATAGATTTTCAGTACTCTAAATTACATTATAACATATACTCCTATTGAAATAGGACAACTTATATATGCTAAATTGAAAGTTAATTATAATTTTATTATACAAAGAATGAGTTCTATAGTGATTTGATGTAATCTTAGAAAAGTATTAAATTTTAAATTCTATAAGAAAATTTTAATAGAAAATATTGAATACTTTTTAATTTAAATTTTATTATTTCCACTACTTAAGACATTATAGTTAGCTTAACTTATGTTAAGGTAAATATTACATATTCCTTATAATAAATTCAAAACTTAACTAAGATTTCTTTAATATTTTATTATATTTTTTTGAAGTAATTTTATAATTTATGTTAATTGAAAATTATACTAGATTTTTAGTCAAAAATGTTTTAGCTCTAAGAAATTAATCCGAATTAGAATGACTTTCTTTAATACTATATTTTTATAAAAAATTATATTATTAATATTTATAATCTAATAAAAAGACTACCATCTTTTATAATTTATTTAATCTTTGATATAAGGTTGAATTAAAAAAATATATAAACAAACCAAAAATAGATATTTTATATTAAAAATGTTTGCTATTTGAATTTTTTGTGAAAAATATATAAGAAAAACATAAAAATAGATATAGTAGGAAAACAGTTCATTAATTATTTATATTAATTCTTTGTATTTTATTAGAAATTAATGTTTTTGAATTAGATCTTATGGTAGTCAATTAAAAATAAACTCAGGAGAGATTAAGTCTCTAAATATAAATAAATTATCTTATTTTAACTTGATAGATTTAAAATAATAATTATTTATAAATAAAGATAAAAGTTAGATTATTCATTCTGCATTTGATATGTCTATTAATGCTTCAATATTACTCACAATTTTTGAAAAGACTTAAGCCATTTCTTTTTGAAAAGCAGGTTTTTCAATAAATATTTTATTAATGAAATTCAACTTCAAATCTCCTGATATAAGCATCTCTTCATTTTTTTCTATATTTGGGGATAATATTAATTTTGTTTATACAGGTTTTTCTTCTTATTCTTCACATATTTTTAGTATTAATTAAACAGGTTTAACATTAGAAGATTCTATATTTGGTAAGTTTTTAAAATGATTTGTGAAAAATATAGTGATTAAAATAGCAATAGATATAAAGTAAATTTAAGTAATTGCTTAATGGTCTTAATTAGTAAAAACTTATTAATTAACAATATCTAACATATTAGGTATAATAATAGTAAAGAAAAGAAATTCAATAGCAATTAATACTTTTTGTTCTTATGTAAGAGAATGTACAGTTTTTGAATAAAATTTAGTTCTATTGACTACAAATTAACTTGTTTAAGTATTTTTTCCAGAAAAAAGGCATAAATTTAAACTATGTAATATAAATCCTGGTATTATATTTTTTCTTGTTATTAATTCTAAATCTTATAATATTAATTTTATAAAAAAGCATAATCTCTATTTCTAAAAATCTAATATCAATTCTTATTGTTATTTTAAGATATCAGTATAATCTTTAATATAGTTTGAACTATTTAATAATTTAATAATTTTCGAGAAAATCTATTCAACAAAATTTCGATATTGTTATTAAATTTGCCTATAAGCCATTTTATTAAAGTGACTTAAATGAGGTTTCTTTAATCTACTAAAATGTTCCAGTGCTTTATTTCTATTAAAAAATATGAGTCTAAATAATAACTTAAGATTACTTATATTTTTTGCTTAATTTGAGAACAGCTCGAACTAATATAGCGATAATCTTAAGTTTAAGCTTTTTAACAACAAGTTTCTTTTTAACTTTTGAGTTATCTATGGTTCCTAATTAATAATTGTCTTTATTATGAATTCCATCGATAGTATAACTTCTATGTTTATTATTATTAATTGAAATCTTTATTCTGTTTTTATTATTATATAATTAAGATTATATAATTGTTTCTCTTTATGGATTAAATTCTAAACTTTAGATGATTTGGAAGTCTTATTCAAGTTACACAATAGGTCTATTGATTTTTTTATCTCTATTTGTTTCGGACTTTAATTTGTAGATATCTTATGCTTTTTATTCATGTATATATTAATTTGTAAGAACCCTTTCTCTTTAAAAATCATTTTTAATTATACTCTACTATTTTCTATTATTTTCCATATTTTGATAAGTTTCAATCTAAGTTTTATTTTTATATGTATATGTATTTTAAGATCCCTCTTTTAAATTTGTCTATTCAAATATATTCTTAAACAATTTAGGACGGATTGAACTTTTTTCCAACTATGAATTTAATTATAGTAATGGTATATTAAGTCTTTAATTGACAAGACTATTCGAAATCACTTTAATTGTTTATTGTTACTTAAAAGAGGGACAGTTTAATATATTAAAAGATAAGCTTTCATAATTCTAGTTTTTCATCAATTGATTTAAGTAGTGAAATTTATTAAATAAATTTTCAATTTTTTTTATCTACTAATTAATTTAATTCAATCCCATAAATTTCTGTTTAGTTTTAGTGCAGATTTTAATTCTATAAAAAAGAATTCTTTTATTATTAAAGAAATTGTAGTTTAATGAACTTTGAATTTTTATAAAAATCAAAGAGTTTTTAATAATACTATATTAAAATAATTATGCAATTAAAACGAACATCAATTGAATTTGGAACTCTTGAATAATTATTTGAAGGAAACATGTCGATTGCTGCTAGTTAATAAGATATAGAGTAGGATACCTAATCCTTTTTAAGCAAGGATGATCTAAAGAACAAGTTTAAACCTTTTAAAAAAGAAAGAAACTCAATAGGAAAATTAATTCAAAGAGCAAAAAGTAATGAAACTACATCTAGATTTCAATTTTTAAAAAGTTAATAAGTAGTTGTTAAGCCAACAACAAAAAAACAAGTTCGCAATAATCATCCTATTTATAAATGGAGCACTACAAATCTTTTAGGACTATAAAAGAGAGATATTACTACATAAGATTAAGAAGTTTCTTTAAGGTAAAGATTAAAATATTTCAAAATAAATCTCTAAGCAGACTAAGGTTTTATAAAATAGTTTAGAGAATATAAGAAATAATTTACTCCAGCAACAATCTAAACTAGAGCCTTTTTAACACCAAAAAGAGAGTATTTTTATAAAGATGTAAGGAGAAGCATAAACTAAATGATAGAGTCTTATTCCAGGACCAGGTGTATATTCTGGAAAATTAATGTTGACAGATCCTGGAAGTTCGATTGAATACAGTAAAAGTCCATAAACGTCGAAGTAACAAACGCCTATTTGTTAAAAGGATTTTTATGATTTTTAACTACAAAAAAAAAATGAAAATACTCCAGATTTTTTTAGGACTATTAGTAGAGAAAGGGCTTATTAGAGAAGCATTTTTGCTTAAATAGAAATCTAGAAAAAAGAGAATAAAGTATTAAATTTATATTTTATAAAAGAAACTTCAGAAAGAATAACCATATGATTAAAAGAAAATAGAATAAGAAATTGAATATTTACTTTATTAATAATAAAAATATGGGAAAATAAGTATTAATATCTTAGAATTTAGATTATCAAAGAATATTAGATAATAATGATGATATTAAAAAGATGACAAAGCCAGATACTCTTGATAATACATGGAGTAAAATGCTGTAATAATATAAATAATTTAAGTGAACGATATGGATTTAAGAAAATAAAAGGTGGTAAAATAGTAAAAGAAAGAGTATAAACATTATAAAATGAGTGAGAATAATATTAATTTAATACTTGATACTTTTATTTAGCAAATATTATGAATAAAATAAGATAGACTCCTCGTTCACGTAGACTTTCAGCCTATCAAGAAAAGGATTATGTTATACCTAAACTATTTTTGAGTGTTGATATGTATTAAAAATAATAACATTCTGTCAGAATAGTATCAAATTAAGAGATCAACAACATGACATTCTTTCATAGAAACAATAATTATTAAACAACAAAAAGAAGTATTCAATCAGAAATAGAATCAGTTGGAACTGAAGAAAATAATAAAGTTTATGAAGTTAAAATATAAATCAAATTTATAAAGCATAAACAAAAATTAGATAAGCAATTAAAATAGGATATTATTGAAGACTATAAAGTTGTTAAATATTCAAATAATACATTTCAATAACTTAATGATGAATTAGAATTAAGTAGAAAATTATAAAAGCTATTTACAACAATTAAAAAATGAATAAAAATTTAAATTCAACTTTACATCATTTATAAACTCTTTCAATCATATAATTATTTAATAGATAATATTATATAAAACTAATAAACCAATATATAAATGATAATAAAGAATTAAGAAATTCAATCTCTAACTGTAAATGATAACAATTTTGTTATTCTTAATACCTATTATATGGTTTCAATAAAAATAACATAATGTAAATCCTAAAATTCAATATAATATTATTACTTTCATTTTTGCTAAAGTCTCTTGAGTAGTTAATGAATGCATTTTCAATAACACTTCTAAATTGCAATGTGTTTCAGTATCAGGTAAAAATGTCTAATTACATTTTTAATGAGAATCTTTAGCTTAAATAATAGCACATTTGTTATTCCACCACTTTATTGTTTTCCAATCTTTTTCTTAATTCTCTGCAAATTCCTATAATAAATAAAAATATATAAACCTCATCAAATTCTGGATTCTCTTTAAGTTTCACTACTATTTATGGACCTGTATCACTATTGTTCCATCTACTTGATTCAATATAGAATCCTCTAACAGCTTCAGATAAATCATTCAAAGCTAATTCTTCTGCAGCTTCATCTTTTTAAACAATATTAGCAGATTAAGCATCTTCATTCACAGGAATAAAATTAACACCACTTCTGAATAATTCATAAAATAATGCACCAACCTATAACTTTTTGTATGCAAAGTGTTAGAATTCCTAAAATATAATTTTATAATTATACTGGATCTTTCTTCAATAATTATATATATCCTGGACCAATTTCAAATTTAAATAAATCTCTTATTCCTTAAATATCTAAAATTGCTTTTTCATTGCCAACACATCTTAATTTAAAACTCTTATATGGATAATCCAAACATCTTTCTTATAATAATCCAATAGGACCTAATTTAGGAACACTTGCAACAATATTAATTCCTTTATCTAATTTAGCATCTTCAACTCCATCTGTTATCCATTATTCACTAATACGATCAAAAAATGCTACTCTCCATACTTTTTAATTTTCCTTATTTGGTATCCAAATATAAGAAGGAAGTTAATAAGAAACCTAAAATTTATTATTTATTTACTTTAAATGTTGCACTTAATTCAAATGCTAATCTTTTGACAGTTTCCTTCAATTCATAATTTTACTTTAATGTCCATGCATTTACTTTTTTAGGTGGGGGGAGCATTTATAAATATTCTATATCTAAAACACCACCAACAATTCTATATTTGCTATAAACATCAGGAGAATAATTATCAAAAGAAGTCCATAATATTTTTTGAAGAAATATAGAAATAGATCTTGGTACATCAACTGCCAATTATAATTCTGGGTATTCATTTGGTTTATGTCTATAACCAGATGGTTTATTTGATGGATAAATGAATATACCATATTTAAAATCTTCAGTAGGTGGAAAAGTCTTAATAACCTCTTATTTAGTTTTATCATCTAATTTAAATGTTCCCTTTGCTCCTTCATTTGCCTTTTTAGTTAATTCTGCAAATTTTTCCTATATTTAATAATATTTTATTTTACATCTATAAATAGTTCAGCATTTAATACCATTTATGTATTAATCTCTTCAAGTTTCTTAACAATTATCTCTCTAATCTATGTTATATATATTTTATTTCTAGCCACAGTGTCATTTTAAATGATTTATTACTATTGTTATTATTGTAATTATTAATGGTTTTATTATAATTTCCTTTCAGCTTTTAATTAAGTTAAAAATCTATGAATATCTCTTTCAATATTCTCTGCTTATTATAATTTTTGAAGTTCTTCTGAAACTTTTAATTCATTAACTACTTTTTATTCTCTAAGCATTGTTATAAATGTTGTCAATTGAGCTTCATAGGTTATATCAGGTTTTATTGAACAAATCAAAAATTTATCCCAATCATCATTTGCTCTAGCTACCTAAAATTTTAGAATACATATTAATAAAGTACTTTCTTTGCATTATCTAGATTTTCTTTGAAAACACTTCTTTAAACTTCATTCTCTATCTCTTCTTCTTAAAGTCTTGCCTTTTCTTCAGCAGCCAATCTTTCTTCTTCTAATTTTCGTAACCGTTCTTCTTCTTGCCTTTATTTTTCTTCTGCTTCTTTTCTAATTCTTTCTTACTCTTCTCTTTCTTTCTTTTCTTGTTCAGCTTTTTCCTTTAATTCCTTTTTTGTCAATTTTTTAGGAGGTGGAGCTTTTGGAGGCATATATATATATAATGTTTATTTATTATATTAGATTATGAAATTAAATTCTAAAATTATTTATTTTTCTTTTATAATACTTAAGAGAATCTTATACATTATCAGAATTATTAATATTATATGTATTTATATACATTTTGACATAGCAAAATATTACTATTTTTGTTATTGGTAATTTTCATATGAATTGGAATTTTATTGATATTTTTTTTGGTTTTTTAAGAATTATATTGAATTAATTTTGACTCAAGCATAATTTTTATATATTTTAGAATTTTTTCATATTAGAGTGATATTGCTTTTTCATTTGATTTCTTTTAAGTTTTTTGTTTTATTAGTTAACATATCAATATTTCTGCTATTTATTTTTATTACAATTAAAATTGATGTAAATTAAGAGTAAATTTTAATAAAATATACTCTTACTCATATATTATTTGTAAAACGGAATTTTAAATATATTAAGAAATATTTATATTATTCTTATTAGACAATTATTTTTTTTGTAAAATGGAAATGAACACATGGTAGAACGAAAATGATATAGCAGATTCTGAAACGATACCACTTTAATCTGAACCTTTGATGGGTGCAATTTGCTAAAGATTACATTAGATTTGCACTACTTCTTTTTAAATAAGACGTCGAATTATTTAAGTTATAAGAATATCTTATTTAGGAAGAAAAGAAGAAGAAATGCTATTTAGAATTCAAAAGACTAAAATAAAATTGAAAATTCAAAAGAGACTAAATAATGCTTATCCCAATTAATGTTAATAGAGTAACTTTGTAATAACCTTTAATATGTTAAAGAACTAGTATCTCTTATTGAATGATTAATTAATCATTTATAGCTTTTGAATATTAGCTTTATAATAAATTTTAAGCTCCTACTTTTTTATATATCTTTTTTAAATTAAGTATAATATAACACAAAAGGTTATAAATTATTTCTAACTTTTATGTTTAACATTTTTATTTTATATTATATACTTTATTCTAATTTTATCATTTTATTATATTAATAGCAATTCTAGTAGTAATATAGATGAATATAAGTTTGAATAATAATTATGAATTAGGAATATAGATTTTCTGGAAACAAAACTTATTTAAAATGTTTATTAATCAACATATAATTAGTTTCGTATAAATATAATAACAATCATTTATAAATATTTCACCAAATAATACAACACTACTTTGATTATTTACTTAGCCTTTTTTATTTTTAATATTTTATTTCTAGTATTTTTAAAGATTCCTCTTCTTTTTTTGTAAATTCCAATTATTTTTGAGAATTTTAAATTGGAGTGGCAGTTTCAGCTTTGTCCATTAGTGGAGATTTGCTTCTAGGTGATCTAGCACTCAAAGGTACGCTAAGTGGTGACTTTGTTCTATCTCTTGGAGTAGAAACTGGAGGGATTGCTTGTAAATATTGAACATGCTCATCTATTGTAACTTCATATTTAGAGCCAAAAGCAATTTATCTACCTTTCCTATCGTAACGTCGAAACACTTTAATGTTCAACAAATAAATTACTTTGTTCTTCAACAGGTAGTTCCTTTTTTAAAGCACTCTTAATTGCTTGTTATTTAATTTTAGTATCACATTCTTAATTAATCATTTTGTATTTCTTTCAATTAATTAATAAATTGTGATACTAAAGGCTAATAAATATTTAAATAAAAAGAGGTTTAGGTAATTATCAGGATTAATAATAACTTATAATATAAATTTCAGATACATGGAACTTTTGCTGAAACTTCATCCTCCATTTTTTGAATTAAGGATTTCCTTTTGTAATAAAATTTAATTTAAATACTTAAATATCTGCCAATAATAGCGAACTTTATTGTAATATCATAAAGAAATGGCTAAATGATTTAAACTATAAATTTCTAATGGAAATTCAATAATGATAACTTTGATTGCATTAGTTGCAAATAACCCAAAAAAGTAGAAAATACTCTCCTATAAATTTGCCTTTATATATTCATAATATATACATTTTTTAAAGAAGAATTGAATTTCTATGTGCAAGCATAATCTTATATAAAAAATGATAAATTTATCATGATTATAGTGTTTGTGGCAAAAAAAATATGATTGTTAAAATGAAAAGCAAAGAACTTACAAAAAGAAATCCCTTTCATATTCTGTATGTAAATAAATACATTTATAGTCATCCAAAAAGTATATTGTGAATAATTAAATATTTTATATTAATACTCTTGAATAATTGAAATTAGATTGAATTAGTATAGTAATTAATAGATATAGATAAATAATTAAATGGTCATTTATAAATAGATAATTTAAGTTAAATTTTTATTTATTTTTCAATAAAATTTTTTATGTCCTTCATTATTTTTATGATGTTTATGACCCTTGTGATGTTTTACTTCTTATTAATGAAACTTATATTCATTATTCTTTTTTTAATGTTTAAAATTTAAAACACTCATATCAGTTGCACTATGTTTACATAATCCTAGATATCCTTTTTTACGTCCATGTAAACATTCTTATCCTGCAACTCCTGCTTTATAGACATCACCATGTAAATTTGGTTTCTAAAATTTAAAAGATATATTACTCTATTGTATACACATACTACAATTTCATCACTCATTCCATTTTTTCTACTAACTTATGATCTACCACATCCAAAGAATTAAACTTAAGCCATTTCAATTTATCTTGCATGATCTTCATGTTAAGCCCATTTCTTAAATACTCTTTTAGCAGTCCAATCAGCACCACCATTTTCAACATCACCTAAATATGCCACAAAACCATATTAAGGAGGAAAAGAACAATCAATTCTAAAATTGGCTGGACATTTATCTGCACAATCTTATGCAAATCTAGCCAATTGATTATCCCATTTTACATAATTCATATTTGAAGCTGTTTAAAATTTACCTTACCAATTTTTTTATTTTCCTACAGCAACATCATTTCTATGTTCATTATGCAATTCTAATAACTCATCTTCCTTCTTTTTAGACATCCCCCTTTCTTTTACTCTTTCCTTGTTATCAGTATCACATCCAACTTTAGCATAAACAAATGCTAAAAACACAATTAAAACGAATTTCATTATTATTATTATTTTTATTAGTAAAATAAGTTTAATGGATAAATCAGTGTTGAAATTATATAAATCAATTCTTAGAGCTGGAAATCAATTCAAAGATTACAATTTTAGAGAATATGTCATCAGACGAGCTAAATAAGATTTTAGAGAATTAAAGATTCATCCTGATCTTAAAAATAAAGTCATTGAAAAATACACTTAAGAATTAGAGATTGTTAAAAGATAAACAATTGTTTAAAATTTATACTATTAGACCAATAATATTATAGAGTAGAAATAATGCACTATATGAGAATTTAAAAAATATATATTAAATATAATTAAAAATGGCATCTTACTCAGGAGAATAATAAATCAAAACTGTTATCAATACTGATGATATTAAAGATATTGTAGCAATACTAAATAATAAATTTAATGAAAATTATAGTTTAGTATCCTTTGATGAACAGAATTAGTAATCATTATTGAAATCTATTTTAGATTTGAATTCTTGGAACTGTTAAATAAAATATTTTCACATCTAGACTCTAGATGGACTATAGATGTTAAAGTAGATAATTAAGAAACTATAATCTATAAAATTACAGAGTATTTACGAATTCTAAATTACCCAGGCTAATTTGATGATAAATGGTCCCAATCACTTTTGATTGCGGATAAGAAAGTTATTTATCCTATTTTTCATTATTTATTAACAAGATATCCAGAATTAGAAAAAAGAGCATATCTAGCCAAGTATTTAGTACCAGTTTTTGTACCTGATGAATTTCAAATGGATAATGATATTAAAACATGTGTAGATTAAATCAAAGATTTATAAGCTTAATTCTAAGTACATCATTAATCACTTGAGTAAGTATAATCATAATCAATGAATCCTGAAGAATTGAAAAAGGATATAACTTAATTTGAATAAGAAAGAGAATAATTATTAAATAAAATTAGCAATTTTAAGAGTAAAGTTTCCTCTAAACCTAATTTCAATGAATTATTAGAAGTTACAAATATGTTAAGAAGGGAATAAGAAGAAGAAGCAAGATTATAGGATAAATTAAGATAGTAAAGAATGTAATTAGATTAAACAGATTAAATGCTTTTATAAGCCTAATAAAGATTGATTGATGCTTAAAAGTCATTAGCTCCTGATAATTCACCAGAATAGATGTTAATGGCTTTGAGAAATGAAGTTAAAAGAAATAGGGAAATTAGCAAAGATAGATTAGGATTTGATTTAAAAGAGAGAAGAAAAAAATTAGAATAAATTGAAAGATTACTTTCTGAACCACCTATTACATTAAATGAATTAAATAATTTAGAAAATACTTTGATGGCATTAAGAAGAGCAGTAAATTAAATGGAGGATAAATTAAAGAGAGAAGCTAAGCCTGAAGATGATAAATTAACTATATATAAATAATAAGCATAATTGGTTGCTAAGAAAAAAGAAAGGGCTGTTGAAGATATCAAAAAAGTTGAAGAAGAATAATAATTAATTGAAAAAGAAGTATTTAAAAAAGAAGAATAAATTGCAAAGGAAAGAGGACCTAATTATAAAACTAAAGGAGAATTTAAGGAATATGCTAATTAATTAAAAGATAAAAAATTTCAATATTAAAAATTAAAAGATGAATTAAAAGCATTATAAGCAGAAAGAGCTATATTGGAAAGAACAGAATAGATTTTAAGAAAATAAAAAAATGAATTACTTAAATAATAATAAGAATTAGAAAAAACTCATGGAATAGTTGGTTATAGTAAGAAAAAAGAAGGTTTAGAAAAATTATCAGAAGATAATTAATAAATTAATTTAAAAAAAGGTTAAACTTTAGAAGAGATTTCAAAAATTGTTAATGAAATTTAAGCTTAAATTTAGTTGAAAAGACCTTTAATATAAGAATAATTAGCAGAAATCAAAACTATAAGATAATAATACTCTGTAAATTATTTTATTATATATTTAGGATTTAGAATAAGTACATAAATAAAAGAAATAAGAATTTGATAGAATTATGTTAGGAGTTGAAAGTGATTAAAGTTCTTTAGTAAATGAAGTAAAAAAACTTAGAGATGAAGTTTATGGTTTAGATAGAAAAATTAGACTTAATAAATACAATTCTGAAATTTTGGAAATCAAAATTTAAAGATTAAATGATGAAGTAAAATTATTAATACTAATTTTAGGTTGAATATAATAAAGGGGGTAAATAATTGTCATCATAATTTAAGTCTAATGAAGAAATGATAAAATAGAGAATTTTGAAATTAGAAGAAAATATAAAAAATCTTAAATAGTAAAGAGAATTAGTAAAAGAAAATTATGAACCTTCATTGAGATAAGTAATATTGTATTTTAATATCATAGATGAACTATTTCAGTGATTTAAAGAAGATTTTGAATGTTAAATTTTAATAATTATAGAACGATTAGGGACAGAAATAATAAATGAAAGCAGGTGCAAATAGATTAGTTATTGGTTGATTAATTATAAAATATAAGATTATTTAGATTTTCATTATTCTTGTTATTACATAATAATATCTGAATTATAAACCTTATTTGGATAGAAAGTGCGCATTTCATAACATCCATTCTCAATTTAACATCTGTATGTCCACCTCCAAACCATATATATTCTAAATTCAAAATTTTATCAGAAATCAATAATGGCATATTTTATATCATATTAAAAGGTGTTATAGCATTAAATTGATATCCACTTAATTAATATGACATCTTATATAATTAATAATTATTTACTTCATCTGATGTTAATCTAAAATGTAATTTATTTCTAGATATTTATTTATTTGGGTACTTTTGATTCTATAACTATTTAAAATATTTATTTATCTAATATTGTTCTTAAATTTCATACCTTTTCCCCTTATAATTTTGTAATATATTAAACTACAACACATATATATTTTGGATTGACTTAATGATCAGGATAGGAATCATCATATTTTGTATTTTCCATTATGATAGATTTGCATAAATAATCTATAGAAGGAGCTTATAATAATGTTTTTCTCTCCTCATAATTCAAATCAAAATAATTAGATTAAGCTTGAAAAAGCTTAAATTTCTTATATCCATTTGTATCAAGATAAGTTGTCATTTTTTTCATACATTCTGCTATCTCATTTTAAATCATATTTATTCAGAGAATATTTTGATAAACTATAATTATTATAAATAAGAACTATAATAATAATATTATAATAATTATATAAATATTATTGCATAATCATTCTGTATGAAATTCAAAAAACTATTCAAATGCTAATCTAAATCTCCTTCCATCAATTAATTTTACTGGTTCACTTTGTTTGTGTGGTGGACTTAATCTTAACCAAGTTCCATTTCTACTATCTAAATCTTCAATAACTAATCCTTCTTCTATATATGTGAATTAAGCATGTTGACCACTTAAATGCTATTAAAATAAATTTGAGAATAATTACAGTGTCATCCACAAACATAGACATCTATCTTCCAAAAATTAGAGCTGTTTAATCTTAAGTTAATTCAAAATCAAGATTTTTATTTTCCATAATCCCTTCTAAAACTCTAATAAAAACAGAACATTTGTTTCCTTGAATTTTTATTTTAGATATTAAAAATTAGCCCAAACCCATATGTAAAATCAATCCTTCTTTTAATAAAGTAGGATTAGTTAATTAGACATAAGTTCCAGATGAAGATCCTAAATCTTATAAATAAAAGCTTCCATTAATTTCTTTATAAAAAATCTTACAATGTTATCTACTAACATATTCTTCTTTAAGTACTAATGTATTATCAGGATTTCTGCCAATAGAAATACCTTCCTTTGGAATTTAAATTCTTTAATTACCATTATTAATATTAAATAGATATGGACTACATTCTTATTTGATTTATGTTGATTTGATAATTTCTTGTACATTATTGACTTCTTATACAGTTTATTTGAATGATTAATTACTTTAGATTTAATCTTCAAAAATTGCAGCTTTAATTGAACTTCTTTTAAATTGATTAGATACAACAAGATTATTTGATGCATTGTTTTCATCATATTATTGATTAATAATTTATTTTTGAGAATCGAAAGTCTAATCTTTTTCTTTTTATTTCAAATATTCAGAATATTCTTTGAAACCAATTTTAATCCCTTTAATAATATATATTGATTACATTAAACTAATTTTTTAATTTTCAATGAGGATTCTGCTATTTCCATTTCTTTTAAATCATTATCATCTAATGTACTCAATAATGCTCCATCAACAGAATTTTATCTAAAATTAACATCTAAGTCTTATAATCCAATAAATTTCAACCAAATAGTAACATCATCAAGTTTCCATTTTTTAGGGTCTTTTGGTAAAACCTTATATAAGTCATCATAATCCATAATTATAATTAGTAATAATTAATAAAATTATAAAAATGATAATTTGTATAGAGAAGATATTTTCAATAGATATATATATATATAATTCTATAATATATGATTATCATATAGATTGCATAACAATAAATGTATTATTATTATACATTTTTTTATTTAATGATTTTTACGAAATAAATTAGAATACTTTTTGTTGCTCCTCTTATAATTTGCACAGTACTAATATTCTTTATGGCTTTCTATTCCTGGTTTGTAGAGTTATATGCAGTTAATGATTAGATAAGTTAATTGGTAAAATCAGTACCATCAAATTCTCCATATTATAGTAGATTCTATATACATTAGATTAGCGCTGCTTTGTAATTCTCCTTTGGTCAGCACTAATGATACCAATGTCATAATATTTAGCGATGGTGCTTAATACTACATCCTATAAAATGATTAATTGATATGCACAATGGTATATCACTAATCATAAAACCAAAGTCTTATTTAAAAACTTTAGTCGAAACTAATAGATATAAATGGATATATAAATACAACACTAAATTCAGATAATAGCAAAATAATTTAAATAACATTGTCTTTGGCAGCAATCGAATTCGTATTAATAATAGCTGCAATTAATTATTATGCAAAGTCTATAGCTATAATAGTAGCTTCTCCCATTGATGAACTTACTTATTCCTTAAGAAATATAGATTAAAATAATATTGATGAATATTTTTCAGAAAGATTATAAGGAGAATCTTCAAAATTGATACCTGATGAAATGATCCTTTTGTTGAGAAGTGTTTATGATTTTATAGGTATAGTCAAAATAGCAAATGAAGCATTCATATAAGGTAATGATGGATAAGCAGTTATTGGTTATGCAGTGGCAAATTAATTTTATTTAGAGAATGGTAATAAGTTGGGAGCAGGAGTGATTTAGAATAATATGGGAGTTATTCATATAAGAAATAGAAGATTTTAAGAAGCTATCTTTTGTTTTAAGGAAGCAATAATATGTATAGAAAATGAATGGGAAAAATATAAACATAAATATTAAAGTGTTGGAATTAATGAAGATGAATTAATTATAGATTAAGAATATTAAAATTTAAGTAAAATAGTATTCAATCGTTGTTTTAATCTATGTGAAGCTTTGAGTGAATTTCTATTATCTGAAATTTTAGAACTTCAAGAATTATTATTTTCTCATAAAACATAACGCTAATCTATATTTAATATGGAAAATATGATGTATGCATAACTAGAAAATACACATGCAACAAGACAAAAAGCAGTTTCAGTTTTTAATTAAGATTAAGATGAAGAATAGGAATCAATAGAAAAAATTATCAAAATTAAAGGGAATGCTAAAAGAAATGTGTTAGATCTTCAAAAATTAAATGACATCATGTTTACTATTAGATCTTAATTTTTGGGGACTCATGATTTTCTGAATAATATAATTATTCATAATATTGAAAAAGTCACAGAAAAAGAAATTGAATTTCTTATTTAATAATTATGGAGAGATACACTTAGAACATATGAATATTGTCAAGATATAATGTAATATCATTTAAATAAGAAGAAATAAAAGTAATTATATATAACATTAAAATTAATTATTGGTTATTTATAATCTGGTTAAATGAGTAAAAGTGAAGAATTAATATTAATTGCTTATGAGTAATATAATAAAATCTAGTAGGAAAATGATGATACAGAATTAGGACATATTTCACTTCTTGAATAAAAGCTTTATTTATATCATGGATTAGTTTTATATAAGAAAAATTAAAAATTAGAAGCAGCATAATTATTGGTTAAATCTTTATGTGTAAATGGTAAATTCAGCAGTAGAGATCGATTATAATCTTTAGTTATGTTGAAGGCTATATTTTAGAATTATAATAGACCACTTACGAAAATTAATGACTTCTTAATTCAATATTAACCAATAGCTAAAGATTGGATATTTATTTTGGATGGTAGTAAAAATATGAAAAAAGAATTGGCTATTGTCAGAGCTTGTAGAACACTTCATAATATAATAAAAAATATTAATTCATAAAATGATAGAGTGAGTTTTGGAATTTTAAAAGATGATTACTATGAATTTGCTCCATTAATTGGAAAAGTTGACAATGCTGCCTATATTGATAAGATTTTTTAATTGATTCCAAAACCAAAAGGAATATGTAATTATAAACTCATAAATTCTATTGCTGAAAAGTATTAAGCTCATCCTAATTTAATTACTATAGGAAATAATAGATATTTAACCAAAGATGGAGTTGCGTTTATGAGATACAAAAAAGTAATAATATTTGCTTGTTGGTAATTTGATAATATTTCTATGAAATCTTAAGATGAGTTTATTATTATTAAATTTGGATAAAAATCTGAAAGGTAATAAATAGTAGAATAAGGAAATGTATTGTATGAAGATGAATGGAATAAAGTATTAAATTAATATTAATAATTATTGACTGAATAGAATGATAGCAATTACTTTTTAGAATAAATATTATGATTTATACGTATATATAAATAATTCAGAATTTTTACATATAATAAAATTATTTTATAATTATGTCATTCATCTCAAATGATGGTTCAATCGATTGCAATATTTAGACCTTAAATTAATTAATTAAGGAGTTTTATTTGGCACCCTTTAATTATAAACATTTGTGTAGTATTCAAGTAAGAATGATGAAAATGTTTGAAAAAAAAATTACCTAAGATTAAGAATCTGATATTATTGAGATATTTAAAATATGTTTGAGAGATTATGCTTCAGTATTCTGACAATGCATTATTTAATAGGAATTGCTTTAAGAGTTCTCTCAAGAGAATTTCAAGTAAGTTGAACATCTGTGGGAAATTCATTATCGTCTATAATCTACTAGTCTTAAAACAGAAAGATTGTATGAGATGTATTACGGTTTATTTAAAATTAAAACACCATGTCCTTATGGTACATCCATTATATAATTCTTAAGATTTTTTTGAAATCCATTTTGATATTGCTAAGAAAAAGAGACCAAATTTGTAGGATTCAAGAAAAGTGCATCAATAATATACAAAAGAACGCATGAAGTAAAAAGTCACATTAGTAAAGATTTTGTAAGATTAAAGTTTATCTTAAAAACTTCAACACAATAGTGAATGTAATTAATTTAAATCTCTTTAAAACAACACATAAACTATTCAAAAATAAAAGGATAAACCTCCTACATAGACTACTATTAATGTGAGGAATGAATTTAAGGAGTTTGAAGATCGCTTATCTAAATTAGAAAACAGTTCAAATAAATTAGAACCAACATTTTCAAATTCATGGACTTAAAAATATAGAAATTTATTCTTGAAAAGGAAAAAGTGATTTATTTAAAATAAGAAATAAAGAAAAAAACATAATCAACGAAAAGAGACTTCCCGTATTAATATTTATTGTTTCAATACATCCTCACAATATACATAGTTTTAAACTATTGTTTTTTAATGCAGTATTATAAAAACATTTAATAATATAATATATATATAATAATGTCAAATTTATCGATACGCAAAATTGAATATTTGGTTGAAAAATACATCATAGTATAATCCTCTATTGAAGATTTAATGGATAGTTGTGAAATACTCATTCTTAATCATGAAATTAAAAGATTGTTACCCTTTGTTGCTTATAATGAATCTAATACATTAATCTAAGAATTGATGAAATCTTTTTATCGAAAATTGCCATAATAAGACAACATTAGTGAAGATAAGGAACCTGAAAATACAATTAAAGATAATCTTTAAAGTGCAATTAAAGTTGAAATTCTTCCAGAACCATAGTAATAATTTATAACATCTGTTACAAAATTTAGAAAAGCTTCACAAAAATCCTCTATGAAATCTTCAATAAATTCCTTTAGGAAATCTTCATTGAATAAATAAGAGAGATAATAGCAAACTTAGTAAGGATCATTACATATAACATTTTCTCCAATCCCATTGTAAATTGAATAAGAAGAGGATGATGAAGATAGATTTTATAGAGGTGTGTATGAAATGAAAAAAAAGTAGTAAGAACAAATAAGATTGTAATAAAATATATATACTCTTTCTTAGCAATAAGCATGTATCAGAATAACAGAAAGTGTAAATATAATAATAATTGTTGGATCTAAAAAGAAAATGCAAAAATGGAGTATTTACATTTGATAATGATGGATCTATTATATTGACCAAATAAAAAGCATTTAGTAATGAACTTCAAGTTCATCCTGAAACCAAAATTTGTGCTTTAAATTTAAAAAATTAAGGATAAAAATTAAATCTACAAACATAAATCACAAATATTGTTAATTCTTCAATTTAAAGGAAATAAAGATTAGCAAAAATTGTTAATAATGTAAAAAGTGATATTCGTATGGAAACAGAACCTGTAAGAATTAGTACTTCTTTTAAAACATTAAATAATTAAGATTTTAAATCAAAATCTATTTTAAAATAATTATTAAATGATCAAAGTTTGAAATTAACAAAAAAAGAATTTTAATAATTAGCAGGTTTAGAAAATAATATAGGAGATGTCTTACAATAAAAATTATTAAGAATGACTCAAATACAATTAAAAAGAGCATAATATATATAATAATAACATTCAAGAAGTATCACTCCACTAATAAATGAAGAACATAAAGAAATTGAAAAGCCAATTATTAAAAAAAATACTTAATAAGGAAAAATTAAATTAAATGATTTAAGACTTGCTGATTCTATATCTAATGATACTCCAGAAATATATTTTAAGAATATTTCTGAAAGTTAAGAGTCAAAAAATAATCAAAATATTAAATTAATGAAATAAGATCTTCCTTTTTTATAAATGAATTACAAATAATCAAAATATGCAATTTTAAAAGAAAAAAAGCATTAAAAAATAAACTAAAGTGTTAAATTACGATCTTATACAACTCACGATTGAATTTTTAATTGTGTGTTATATTTTTAATATATGGAGTTTATTAGATCTCCATTAAATTAAAAATATTATAATTTACTCATAAAGTAAAATACTTATTAAATATAAATTAACTTAAATATAATAATATATGTATCACTATTTTGTGGTTGTAGGAGGAATGATTCTTGGTTTAATAGTATTGGCTGTGTTGAATAAGAATGAATCTCAAAAAAAAAAAGTAAAAATTGATGATTAAGATGAACAAACTAAGTTAAAAGAATAAAATTAATATGAAAAATAAGAATCAAATAAATTTGAACCATAAAATATTAATGATGATATGGAAGCTTTAAGGTAAAGGAAAATAGAATCAGATGAAAGAAAAAATAAAATATTTAAGAATCTATCAGTTGAAGATAGATAATTAGTTGAAGAATATTTTAAAAAATAAGCAAAACAATATATATCTGGTGAGGTTAATCCTGCTGATAGAAGAGCTGCTAAATTAATATAGATTATTAAATTTTCTCTTTATGTACTATTTGGATTGGCAGTGTACATAAGTTTAACAATTGCTTTTAATACTACATCACCTTTAATGATTATAGAAAATTTAAAACATTTAGTAAGAACATTTTTATCGCAATTATTTGCAAAACACTGAATTTGATTTTATGTGTAAAAATATATGGATATTTATATTCCAATTGATGTTATCTAAATATATTAATAAATATTATTTATGGTATCTATTTTATTATTTTTGGGTTCATTTTAAATTACACCATAAAATCATATGAAAAACCTTTATTAATATATGATTAAAATCACTAAATAAATGAATATACATTTTTTTTGTTTATGAAATATATATATATATATTATTTCATATATTTTAATAGGATTATGAATTGAATCAATCTTATTTCGATTGTATTCTATTCAATATGATTTAAAAATACAATTATTTATTTAATTAGATATATATACAAATATAAAACATTAATTTGCTTACTGATATATAGGTATACAGATTATTGATGAATTTTATTTGCTTATTTTTATTGTTATAATTTTCTCTGTCATTTTAGATAATTAAAAAGATATTGATTAAAAAATGAGATAATTAATTATATAACATAAATATAGTGTTAAACGAATCTAAATTTTTTGCTAAATTTAAATAATGGATTAAAAATCATCTGCTTTTCATATTTACAAATAAACTCTTATTAGACGTAACACAGTACCCATTTCTTAGGTTTATTCATATGATGTTAAAGATGTATATATTGTAGAAATGTATAAAATTAGAAAATTGGATAAGGAGCTTACGGAAGTGTTTTCAAAGCAATTCATAAGGTTTCCAAATAAGTAAGAGCTGTAAAGGTGATCAATAAACTCAATATTAAATACAAAGAAAGGTTATTAAGTGAGATAACAATTATGGAGCTATTAGTATGAAATAAAATTAGCAATTTAAGGATCATCCGAATATACTGAGAGTATTTGAAACATTTGAGGATAACGAGAATTTATATATGGTTTTAGAGTATTATTTGAATTTGAGCTAGAATCTGTTAAGGTGGTGATGTTTTTGATAAAGTTTTGGAAAAAGGAAATCTATCAATTGATGAAGCATTTAAAGTTTATATTCAATACATGAGAGCAGTCAATTATTATTAGAGCTTTAAAATAGTTCACAGGTATATATAATAGTGATAATAGGGATTTGAAACCTGAGAACTTTTTATTTTAAAAAAAGGATGATTTGAATACATTAATTGTTATCGATTTTGGAATTGCAAAGAGAGGAGTTGATAAATTAAAAACAAAAAGTGGAACAGTATACATAATATTAAATATATAGGCATATTATGTTGCTCCTGAAGTATTAGAAGGTTCTTATGATTCAAAATGTGATATTTGGTCTTCTGGTGTTATTTTGTATGTTATATTGTGTGGTTATCCTCCTTTTTATGGAGAAAATGAAAAGGAAATATTAACTGAGATTAGAAATGCTTAATTATAATTTGAAGGTTGTTATTTTATAATTATAATAAAGGTGATGAATGGCAATAAATACCATAAGATATTAAAGATTTTATTAAACAATAGATATGTCCTGCACCTTAAAGATCTTCACCAAAAGATTTGTTATCAAACAAATTGGTAGATAAATTCAATTAGAAATTTTAAGTTGATTAAAAGTTGATTTCAATGTTGACTATAAATTAATGGGTAAAATTTCACCCTTTGAAAAGATTGGGTTTATATTATTTGGCAACCTAAATTAATTCATCAGATCTTAAATAATAGAAAATGGCCTTTTTCTTAATTAATACATCTTAATCTGGATTAATTACATAAACAGAATTAGCATCATATTTGAAAGTGAATAAATAAGATATTTAAAAAGTTTGGCCATATTTAGATTGCAATAATAACGGTTTTTTAGATTATTTTGAATTTATTGCAATAACTTTAACCCCTTAAGAGTATAATAATCATATACAATTAATATTTGATTTTCTTAGTCAATAAGAGAAATTTATCACACAAAAAACTATAAAATCGATTTTTGATTAGAATTCTAATTTAGACTAAAAATGGGTATCAATATCAGATACAAAAACTAATCATCATTAAAATACCCATGATCTTTAAGTTAATGTTAAAAATATAATAGAAAAAGATATTGATATTGTAAGCTTCAAAGCCTTAATGGGATGAATTATATTATAAAACAATTTTAAATATATATTTATATTTGTTTTCTATATATAAATAATAGTATTGATTAATGTTCAAACTTTTAAGATTTTTAAATTAGATTTATTCTAATAAAAAAGATTTATGTATAATCTAAATATAAATTTATGATTAATATTTCACTAAAATTACAGTTATCAAACATTATTTTATAAAATTATAAAAATTTATTAAATTTAGTACACTATATATATATATATATGTATAGATATATAAATAAATAGATGATGAATTTGATTAAGAAAAATTAGAAAAAAAGAGAAATTGATTTTCTTTTATTTATTTAATTTAAAGAGATAAAATTAATGTAAAAACTAAAAATGGAATGATTGAATAACAAATAATATGAGATTTGATTTCTTATTATTATATAATATATACTTTATTATTAAGATAAGACAATTTTGGAAGAGCTTAATATTTTAAATTAAAAAGAATAAATTGCTCATTAAATATCAAAAGATTTACACTGCATTTATGATAGTTGATTAGATTGTTTAAATCAGTTGATAAAAAAGATATTGAAATAATAGTGTATATTTTATTTAATATCTAACGTTGGTGTTAGTTAACATTGTATAAATGAGTTTTAAAAGTTTGAAAAAGTTGAAACATCATAATACTTTCTTATTCTAATATATATAATTTCAATATATTATGTCAATTTGTGATTCAAATACGCAATGGGGATTTCTAATATACAATATATAATAAGATTCTTTGATTTAGAAAAAAATAAAAATGAGCAAAACAGGATTGATTATAGATGAGTAGTAGTAATTCTCTTCTGAAAGTTCTGAAAGAAAGGTTTCTACAAGAAAAAACAGACCAATTTACACTTAAACAATTAGTGTAAAACGATACCATAAAATACCTCTTAGAACTTAGTAAATACTTTTCGAATAGGTATTTAAAAATGGGAAAAAGATTAAACAAGTATTTATATTTTTGAATTAAAGGCTGCAAAGGAATTGAAAATGAATTACTCAAGTGCTAAGTCATTGATTCATTACTATAAAACTGAAAAGAGGCCAGTACCAGATTAAGTTAAAAAGTTGATCGGTTAGAAGAAATAAGCATCATTTTGCTAAATTGAGTAAAAAAATATAGATGGTGCAAAACTTTTTGTAGAAATATAAGTCAATCATCAAATAATTAACTCTTACAACTACTTTCAAAAACTCCATAATGAAGTCAAAGAAGAAACAATTTGATAATTAATATAAGAATTCTTAACAGTAATTTGAGTTTTCGTTCTTCTTAACGCCAACTTCCATTTAATTTATTTCTGTAAAACATTTTAATTAAGTTGTTTATCAAATAATATTGTTTAATTATATATAAAATGATCCAAAAAGGGTTGCCATATTTGATGCAACGTTTAGAATCCCTTAATGATTCTTAGGTATGTCTTTCTGAACATAAGTAGTTAAATTAAGTAAATTAATTGAGTGATAAATCATTCATATGTTTAAATATTATACTCTTGAAATTAAATAATATTAATCATTAATTAATAAAAAAAGTTTTAATGTCATAAACTATTAATATACATCATCAAATATTTGATATCCATTTTATTCTATATAATTATTCAAATAAAATATTTAACTTTCAAATAGTATCAGTATAAGTATATTAACAATAAAAAACATTAAAGAGTATTATAAGTATCTTATTATGTTTTATTGATTAATATAGTTGTATTTATTGTTAGATCTCTTTTATACAGTTAGTCTGAATAAAAAAATGATTTTAAGTTAATAAGTTTTTTAATAAGTATTACTTATATAGAGATAGAGTAATAAATTTGAATGAAAATTGGAATTTAATATATTATTTAGAGAAGATGATATGATTTATATAAAATAAAATAATAATGAGCTTGAATAATGTTTATTGTGTAGTTGAGGATGCTATGGATAAGTTATTGGAATATTTACATTAAAATAAACATATATGTTAAGATTACAATGGACAACATGAGTTCAGAAACAAATTTAAGTAGATGGTTGATGATTGTAAAAATCATTAAAGTGAATAAACTGAGGATGACATGAGTGAATTTGATTTCTATTTGTAGAATCCTATAGATAGAAAAAGACATGGATCTTTTAGAGTATTCAATCCATTGGTGTTTTTAGCAAAAGAAATAAGAAAGCATTAATAAATTTGATTTAATATATATAATTGGTAGTAGTATTATGCATGTAAAATATAATATATATAATTTTAATTATAAAAAAGTTGGCTCAAATAATTTGATGATTAATTGAAAATTTGGAAGGTCACAAAAACATAATTAATTTTAATGAGTAATTAAAGTGAAGATGAGAATGAAGTATTATAAGTAGAATTGCCAAGTGATGAAGAATAAAGAGCAGAAGAAGAAGATGAAAGAATAAAAAAATTAGAGTAAGACAAAAAGATCTTTATGAGTTCAATTAAGTAAACTGGAAGAATGAACACTAATGTAAATACTATATATATATTAAAATAGATTAAATTTGATAATATAGAATCAAAGATAAATACATTACTAGAAAATGCTGAGAAATATGCTATGTTTCTATTACATAGACATAAGAGAACTTAAGAGAGTAAATAGAAAGTCCAAGCTTAATAGAGAGGAAAACATAGATAAATAATTGAAGATGGAAGTGAGGAAGAAGATTTTGATGATACTCCTACAGTATTAGAAAAATAGCCTACTATTTTAAAGGGAGGATAATTGAAATCATATTAAATGACAGGATTAAATTGGATGATTTCTTTATTTGAAGAAGGGATTAATGGAATTTTAGCAGATGAAATGGGTTTGGGAAAAACAATATAAACTATTGGATTTCTAGCTTTTTTGAAAGAGTATAAAAAGATTAGTGGACCTTATATGATAGTGGCTCCAAAGTCTACATTAGGTAATTGGATGAGAGAATTCAAAATATGGTTACCTTGTATGAGAGTAGTAAAATTGATAGCAATAAAAGAAGAGAGAGACGAAATATTAAACAGATATTTTTAACCAGGAAAATTTGATGTTTGTTTAACAAGTTATGAAGGAGTTAACATTTGTTTAAAACATATTAGAAGATTTCAATATAAATATATCATAATAGATGAGGCACACAAAATAAAGAATGAAGATGCTATAATCAGTTAAAATTTACGTAAAATTAGAACTAATTATAAATTATTACTTACTGGAACACCATTATAGAATACACCACATGAATTATGGAGTTTATTGAATTATTTATTGCCTGATCTCTTTGATTCATCAGAAGTATTTGATAAATGGTTTGAAGTAAATACTGAAGCAAAATTAAAAGAAGGCAATGAAACTATACATCAAGATGAATTAGAATAAAGAAATTTATAAATGGTCTAGAAATTTTAGAAGATATTAAGACCATTTATGTTAAGGAGAACTAAAGCTGAAGTTGAAAGGATGCTTCCTCCAAAATAAGAAATCCATTTATTTATTAAAATGTCTAATTTGTAAAAATCAATGTATTCAAATATATTAATTCATAATAATCCACATGAAGGAGATGATAAAAGTTTTTATATGAATAAACTAATGTAATTACGTAAGATTTGTTTACATCCTTATCTATTTCCTGAAGTGGAAGACAAGACATTACCAGCATTGGGAGAACATTTAATAGATGTTAGTGGTAAGATGAGAGTATTAGATAAATTTTTAAAGAAATTAAGTGAAGGTTAACATTAAATACTCATCTTTTCATAATTTACTATGATGTTAAATATTTTAGAAGATTATTGCAATTTTAGAGGTTATGAATATTGTAGAATTGATGGAGAAACAGAAATTCAATCAAGAGATGATTAAATTGCTGAATTTACATCTCCAGATAGCAAAAAATTCATATTTTTATTGTCAACTAGAGCTGGTGGTCTTGGTATTAATTTAGCTACTGCAGATACTGTTATTATTTATGATTCAGATTTCAATCCTTAAATGGATATGTAAGCTATGGATAGAGCTCATAGAATTGGATAAAAGAATAGAGTAATGGTCTATAGAATGGCTTGTGAACATACTGTAGAGGAAAAAATCATTGAAAGACAATAGATTAAATTACGTTGGGATTCACTTATGGTTTAATAAGGGAGACTTTAATAGAAATAAAGTGGCAAATTGTTATCAAAAGAAGATTTAAAAGATTTAACTACTTATGGAGCTTCATAAATTTTTAAATTAGATGGAGATGATATTAAAGATGAAGATATTGATATCTTACTTAAAAGAGGTGAATAATTAACTAAAGAAATGAATGAAAGAATTGAAAAGAAGTTTGAAAACTTTAAGGATAAAGTTTAATCTTTGGATTTAGGATTAGGATAAATCAATATTTTTGATTATTTTGATGAAGCTAAAAGAAATAAAGAAGATGAAGAAGCATTAGAAGATGCATTAGTCAACCATCTTATGCAAGATAATAAGACTAGAAATCGTGACAAGAGAGCCATGATGATTGGAGCTAATTCTAAAAAAATATAAGGCAAATAAATTAAACTTTCTGAACATCATTTATATGAAAATAAGGATAGATTATAATATTTACTTTAAAAAGAAGAAGACTTTTTAGCATAATAGAAATCACAAAAAAAGACTAATGAAAATGATGAAAATGTTGATTTTGGTGGTCTTACTTAAGAAGAAAGATAAGAATAAAAAAGATTATTAGAAACTGGTTTTAAGAATTGGAATAAATAAGAATTTTAAGATTTCATTACTGCTAATGAAAAATATGGAAAAGATGCATATGATAAAATTTAAGAAGTTATCAAAACAAAAACAATAGATGAAATAAAAGCATATGCTTAAGCTTTTTGGGAGAGAATTGATGGATTAAGTGAAAAAGATAAAATTGTCAAATAAATTGAAAGAGGTTAAAAACTTATTGAATAAAAAACAAATGGATAAAAATTAATTGAAGAAAAATGTAAACATTTTCATCAACCTAAATATGAATTAGTATTTACTCCTTAATTATATAATAAATTTAAAAGTAAGTATTTCAGTTTAGAAAATGATAAATTTTTAATCTATATGACTAATGAAGTTGGATATGGCAATTGGGCTTAACTTAAATAATCTATTAGAAAAGAACCTATGTTTAGATTTGATCATGCCTTTAAGTGTAAAAGTGAAAATGAACTCAAAAACAGAGTTATTTCACTTGTAAAAGTATTAGATAAAGAGAAGGAGAATAATTCTATGGGAAGATCTCTAGTAAAGAATACTTATATTGAAAAACCAAAAGTATTATAGGAATCTCAGAAAAAGAAAACAAAAAATGATGATGAAGAAGTATAAGATGGATCTGAATCTGTTAAGAAAGTGAAAGTATGATATATATATATATATAAATTAAAATATATATATATATTAATAATAAATGAATTTCTTAGAGCCAAGTTCTAATGAACTAATCTAACGACGTCAATAAGTTAAACTTGATTTCTTATTATCTGAAAATCGTTCACTTAAATAAGAGAATGAGTTATTATTATTGACACTTTAGAAGTATAGAACTAATCAACTGAATGAAATCTTTTCTTTTGAAATTCAATAATTAAATAAGCAAGTTATATTATTGAAAGAATAACTCACACATTCATAGATCTAAGCTTTCCTAAATCTTTAAATGAGTTAATAAATTGAAGCCTTTTATTTAGATTTAGTTCATGAATAAGAAGATAAAATATTAGAATAACGTCGCATCATACATGATAAAGAATATACTATTTAACAATAAGAAAAGAACAATACAATTTTGAATGATGGAGTGGCTATTAAATGTAAGGATCTCTTATAATTAAATGAAATATCTTTAAAATTACATAATGAAATTGAACATTTAAAAAATGAACTTCTAAAACATAATTAATATATCTAACAATGTTAAATTAAAATTAAATAATTAAATACTGAAAATTCTACTTATAAATTCGAATTATTAAAGTTTCGAAAAGCTTTAAGGAATTAAGTTACATTCAGAAAAGTTAAAGAAAGTTTAATGAATGATTATGAATAAGATTATAGTGATACAGAATTATCTTCTTTTTCAAATAATGGTTAATCTACAACTGAAACAAGATAAGCTAATACTAGTATATCTACTCAAAAATGTCATTAATTAGAAAGATATAAAAAATTATTTGAATCATAAGTTACAACAAATAATATACTTTAAGGAGAATATAATAAAATTTATAAATAAAATTAATAATTATTAGTAACAAATGAACGATTATGTATTCATACTTAAACTTAAAACAAAAAAATTGAAAAATTAAAAAATGAATTAATTTATCTTGAATAATTTTGGTAAGCATCATTAAATAATACAACTAATTAAATTATTAAATATTCTATGACTAATCTAGATGAATCTAAATTGAATCTTGAATAAAGAAGCAAAAGTTGCAAATAATTAGATTATAAAGAATCAAATGAAATGAAAGAATACAAGAATTATTTATTATAATTACATAGAGAATTACATTCTAAAAATAAAAAATAGTTGATATCAAGATGTATGTCAGAACCACCAAGATTTAAATAAATTAAGTTAACAAAAAAGAAAAAACTTTTAAAAGAACAAAATTAAGGGCAACAACCTTAAGATTTATCTATTATTCATAAAAAAGATCTTAGTTAACTTAGTGAATGCATATTCTGATTAACTATATACTTATAATTATTTTTTATTTTATGCGCAATCGTATACTAAGCAAGGATGACGATAATGTTAAGGAATACTTCTCAACTTAAAAAAGAAAACAAGACAATAATATCTAATTTTGGCAAGGGTATATGTCAATAGCACTGAATAGTACAGAAGCAGGTGTGAGACAATTTTTAACATAGATGAGAAGGAATGGGAGCTTTTAATAAATAGACAAAAAATAAAAGCCTGTAATTACTGAATAAGAATAATTATTGGAGACTCCAAATCATAGTATTGTAAAATCTCTTGATCCTCAATTTCCTCCTTTCATTAGAAAAGCTAAAGAAATAACAAGTTATGAATTTCTATCTCAGATTTATGAATTGCAAAATAGGAAAACAAGAAATCAATCCTTAATAGAACAACTTATTGGAAAAACTAATAATGATGTTATTGTCTTTCCTAAAACTATTCATCGTAAAAACATCTAAAAAAGATCATAACGTTGTCAATCAGTTGCATAAAAAGACATTGAATTGGACAGCATGAAGGGATAACTAATCTAAGTAAGATAAGTTTAAGTTCAACCAATACCTAAAGAGACAACTCCAAAACCGTTGAAGAGATTAATACCTATCATTAAATTAGAAAGGACTACTTCACCAATCAAAAAAGCTTAAGCTCCATAATCCTAAACTAAAAAAAAGATGTTCATAGATGATACTAGATATTGGGATTTAGGTTATATAAAATTTATCCAATGTCCAAGTGTACAAGAAATAAATTAAATCATAAATTTTACAAATGCTCTCCAAGTTCTACCAGCATAACACTAAAAATATTATAAGCTTTATGTTGGTAGAGGGAATAATCATATGATGGTCAAAAGTATTTTCAGTATGAGAGCATAATGGACAGTAGGGGGAAATTTAGAGGAAGATGATTTTAATTTTATTTGGACTTAAAAATATGTTGATTTTCCTCAATCTGAAATTAGACCTATTTAAAGATCGATTTAAAATGAAACAATTGAAGGATGGGTTGATTCAAATGATTAAGCATTAATTAGATAAGCTTGGGATCGTGTGGAAGGAAAATCAAAGAAAAAACTTGCAGATTATAATCTTGAAAGTTAGCCTCTACTTAATAATGTAAGAAAATAATAATATTTTATAGTTAAGTAATGTCAAAGAACTTCTAACTATTAATCATTAAAATTAATTAATTAGAATTCATAATCACCTTAAAGAAGGGAATTAATTAGGTGATAAGAAATTTTTGTTTCTAAATTTAAGCAAATATTGTAAAGAAAATCAAATAGATTTATGGACTTTAATACCTTTGACTTATCATATATAAGGTCCAAATGATGAATCCTTTATACTTTTCAAGAAAAAATTTGAAGAAGTTTCTGATGATTCAACATTTAAAAACATATGGATCATCAAACCTGGAGAGGATAGTAATCGTGGATAAGGCATTAAAGGTATAAAATATATATATTTTAATAGTTTGCAATAATATAAATGAAATCTATTAACACATTTCTTAATAAAATCATACATTCATTCTATAAAAATATATTGAAAATCCATTTCTTTATTAAAAAAGGAAATTTGATATAAGAGGATATTGTCTAATAACAATTATAAATGGTGCTAAAAAAGGTAGTGATCATATTAATAAGTAGATAGTATTTTGGTATAAAAAGGGATACCTCCGTACTTCTAGTAGTTTATTTAGTTTAGATTCACTTGATAATCAGAAAATTCATCTTACAAATGATGCAATTTAAAATAAAATGAATGGATATGGCAAATTTGAGAAAGGTTTTAATTAATTATTATTTTTAAAGGCAATAAGGTTTCTTATGAGTAATTTTAAAATTATTTACTCGAATAGAATAAATAAAATAATACAAATTACAGTTTTGAAGAACTTTATAAGAATATGAAAGTAAATTATAATAATATGATATTATTAGTAATTAACAAAGATAGCTTGTTCTTCAAGTATCAATTAAATTAATAATAATGATTAATTATTAGGATTTGAATTGTATGGTTTAGATTTCATGATTACTAATGATTTTAAACCAATTTTAATAGAATTTAATACAAATCCCTGTATAGAAACAGGATGTCCAGTACTAGCTAAAATAATATCAGGCTTATTAGATAATTTATTTAGGTAAAATTTATTTATTTTTTGAGATTCATTATAGATCCGCTCTTTCCTGCTAAAAAAACAAATCTTGATGATTTTAACAGTAAAAATGATTTTGAATTATTATTATAATCATAATTATGAAGAAGCCTATCTAAATTTAATAAAAGTAAAACCTAATAAATTTATGTACATGATAAATTAATTTATTTAAAATCGTACAAATGAATCACAATAGCATGAAAAAGTTGAGAAATTTAGGGAGGAAATTAGATTTTTTTTAATCTCCAGTTGAGTTAATGATTCATAAGAAGAAATCACACCAATCATTATTTGGAGCATTCATGACAATCTTAATGTTTTCATTTGTTTTATCATACATAATCAATAAATTTGTGTAATTAGGATAAAGAAAGGAATTTTAAACATTATATTCGGAGGTATATTATGAAGAAATTCCTATATTTCCATTAAATTCAAAGAATTTTACCTTATAATTTGCATTTTAAACGGAAAATTAAACAAATTATATTGATGAAACTATATACTAAGTCAATGCTGTAATGATTAATAAAGCATCGGTTATGTAAGTTCCTTAATTTATAAAAGTGTTAATTAAAAATCAAGCTTGTAACTTACTAGAACTGTAATTCCTCTATCTAAATGCACTAAAATTGGAATACCATATGAAGATTTAGAAGACTAACTTGATAATGTTGATTCTGAAAATACATATTGTTTAGACTGGAATAGAGTCTCAGATCTAAGTTTAATTGGAACTCCTGAATAAGAAAATTATACTTATATTTATATAAGCTTTCAATAATGTGTGAATGATACTATTAATAGTAATATTTAACAACTAAATAGTCAACAGCCCAGTTTGTAAGTCTAAGGAGGAAATTTAAGAAAAATTGCATCGTAATTTTATTCTATTTTAATTGTCTTCATATAATATTGATTTAAGAAATTACCTAAAGCCCAATGTTCCAAAAGTTGAAGAAATTCAAACCACAATTTCTAGTAAAGTTAAGAAAGATATCACCTTATTTATGCAACCAATTACAACATTAACTGAAGAAGGACTATTAGATGAATTGGTGCGTAAAGATTCAACAATTAGATATATGAAAAGCTAAGAAGTGATAGATTTTAATAGTGATGAAACACTTGCATCAGTTTTGATTAGATTGGCAAACACTGAAAATATAAGTTATAGAATTTATCCTAAGTTATAAGATATTTTAGCTTAAGCTGGTGGTTTATGGGAAGTTTTGATGCTTGTTTTTACCATAATGGTCAAACCTTTTTAAGCATTGTCTTATAAATTAGATGTTATTAATAATCTTTTTAATTTTGAAGGATAAAAATCATAAAATGATTAGGAGGATGGTAGTAAATAAATCATAAAAAGGTTGACTATTGTTTAAGAGGGTGTTTAGAATAATGAATAGGATACTTCTAATATCTTAAATTAATAATAGTTGAAGTCCTCCATCAGATTTCCTAGAGGCAGACTCAAAACTAGAACGTCAAAACTTTTAAATAGTAATTCAGCTTAGACAGAAAAGTCTTCTAACTAAATGACAAATTCACCTGAGAATGATAAATTAATATAGAAAGGTATTAGATATGCTTTAAGGAAATTATTTAATATAGCTACTCTGAAATTAAGATTTAGTCCATTTGATTATCTTAAATATTTAAAGTGGGGGTAATATAATATTTTAATTAATAGAAAAAAGGAAGGTAAATTTAAATAATTCAACTATTCAATTAATAAATTGGAGAAATGCTTAGATATATTATTTATTATCGATAAATTATAAGAAATTGATAAACTAAAAATGATACTTTTAACCAAATAATAGGTGCAACTATTTGATTTTTTACCAAAACCTTTAATTTCTTTAGATCCTAGTAATTTGTAATATAATGAATAAACAATGTATTCTTCTTTGTTGAAACCCTATAAATCGTAGAAAGAGAAAGCTCATGAAGCATAGTTAGTTTTGGATGAATTACTTGAAAATTTGGATGATCCTATTACTATTAAACTTATTTCTTTGATGGATCCTAATATTTTTAAGCTTCTATAAATTTAATTAGATTTAAAAAAGAGAAAGTTATCAAAAGTAATCACTCCTGATATCATAGAATCATGAATAAATATATATTTTATTAATCATGATTAAATGTATTCATTTGATTCTCAACTAGATTCCTTATTAGATTTATACTCTTAAGAATCTTAAGAACCTTCTTTATTATTTGATTTATCTCTTACTATGGCTAATAGAGAAAAATGTTATTTAACTCTGTTTAATCGATTTCTTTCTTCGAATTCAGATAATAGTAAATTTACAAATTCTTTATCTAAACATATTATTAATTTTTATGTAATTGGATTACTTTCAAAATCAGTGAAAAGTTTTTCAAATGCAATTGATGCTTATTTAGCTTTTTCTTCAAACGATTTTTATGAAGTAAGAATAGATGAATGAAATTATAATTCTTTTTATTCTGGACTATATGGATCTAAGTAAATGTTTGGTTTTGGCAAATATTCAAATAGATTCATTTAAGCTTTGTTAAATAAATAAGTTTGAGTTTATCAATTTCTTATAATTTGTCTATTATAAAAAGTATAGCCAAAAATGATTCATATTTCTTAATAGAGTAATCTACTTAATCCACTTTCCTCCTTTTGGGTCTATATGTTAAATATTGAACATATTCTGTAAATTTCATTTTTATATTACAAGATACTAAAGTGAAAAGAGACCTTGCTTCCTTAATTCTTTCAATTTTATGAATCGTTCAATGAAACCACTAGATTTTGAGCCAATAACTGATTAATATATCCCTTAAGGGAATCGTTTCGATACAACTTTTTTGATTGAGGATTTTATTTTAGTATCAGGGAAAGTTTATATTGTATTTTTTATTTCATTTTGAATTGGCAAAGTGTTTTAGAAGGTTTTGGTTCATTAGAACCTTCATTTGATGATTTATTTTCTGTTCTTTTTTTTAGGTGATTCTTATTCAAAATTGAAAAGTTTATTTATGATTTCTATATTATAATCTAATTCACTAAAAGGTTTTTAGAGAAACAAAGCTACAGCAATTATGATTTGCCATAAATCTCCTGCTTATGCTAATACATCTTATACTTTTAGATAGATTCAATAACTAATTTTTTCAGTATCAGAGAGACAAATAACAACATTTGCCAAAGATGTATCAGTATTTAAATCAATTATTTCTTTATCTTATTAATATCTAATAATAGACTTTTGGTTCCACATTTTCTCTATTACTATGATGAATGCAACAATTTCTTTAAGTAGTTCTTATTGGAAATAACCATAATCAGTTATTGTTATAATAAGTTACTTAAATATTTCAACATCTTTAGTTACTTTGGCTGATATGGTTGTGTGAATGTCTTCTACTTTTGGAGTTTGTCGTTAGAGGAAATCTTGTAAATTAATGATATATGGTATGATGTCAATTAAAAGTGTATAATATCTATTTAAAACTTTTTGAATGGTATCTTAAAAAGCACAAACGACATCAGGTTCTTTATTATAAAATAACAATAATTACTTGAACCATTCTAACAAACTGTAAAACTCACATTTACTTATTAATATTCTGGAGCATTCATCAATACCATATAAAGAAAAACTATCAATCTTACTCCAATCTAAAAAATATGTATTTAAAAGATCTTGATCACAACTAACTCATCTTAGATTATTCCATTTTTAGAACATTTTGATATTGGTATAAGTTTTTTATTACTATATTCTTTCTTTTCACTATTAATCCTTTTATTAAAACTATATAAAATTCTTGATTAATATTTTGAAAATTACTCTTAATAAATTTTAATTAATTATAAAATAAAATAAAAATCATTCATGATTCATTTGAGCCATTTAATAACATGCCATAAATTCTTAATAATCCAATTCATTCTCATCAGTACAAACCATATCTAATAACATTAACAATCTTTTAATTGGAATTTTATTAATTGTTTAACAAATTTTATCAATCTATGCTTATTATTTTTAATTTAATTGTTTTTTATGTTTATTAGTTACATTATGTTTTTCTGCAATATTCATATAATTATAGATTACAGCCTTTATTTCTTCACTTTTTGTAAGATTTGGTATCTAAAAAGTTAAATTGAAACATGAAACAACACCTAATTATTTCAAAATTTAATAAGTTGAAGTTGTTCCTACTATTAATAATTTATTTTATGACTATATATATAAATAATTTAAATACTTTATCTGGTAATCTTTTAATTAATACTAAAAGTGTTTATAAAATTGCATTAGAAAATCTTGGTCCAATATCAACATATTCTATTAATCTCTCAATACTATCAATAACTATACAAGAAAGAGTGGATTTATATGCATCATTGAATATCTTACTAATTTTATTTATTATAGCATCTTCTGTCATACCAATAAAACATTCTGGTGATATTAATTTTACATATGGAAATCCACATTCTACTGCAAAATAAGCAGCAATACTTGTTTTACCTGAACCTTAACATCCTTCCAAAAGAATTGAATTTAATTTTGAACTCTTACCAAAACGAGTTTGATTTATTGTATTTCTAAGCATTTTCTATAATTTTTAAAATTCTTCTCCATAATCAATTAATTCATTTTTTAATAACAAATCAAATTTATTTGAATCAAATCCAAATTAAGGTTTCACTTCTTCTAAAGCATTTTAAAAATCTGCTCTAGTTATTCTAAAATCTTCTTTCTAACTTAATTTTTATGAAAAATTATAAATATTCTACATTCTTTAAAAAGCAAATGATGATGCTGATTTAACTACAGCCTCAATTTCAGCCCCTGTATAATTTTTCATTAATGTTACTAATTCTTCATTATTTACATCATTATGTAAAGCTTAATTCTTTCTTAAATTTTCAGTATGAATTTATAATATTTATAATCTACCATTTTCATCTGGTAATCCAACTTCTATATGTACTTCAAATCTTCCAGGTCTTAATACAGCTTCATCAATTAAATCTTTTCTATTTGTCATACCAATCACAAGAATATTATTTAAAGAATTAACACCATCTATCATTGATAATAATTGATTAACAACATTATCATATGCACCTACACCTGATGAAACTGATCCTCTTTATTTACAAATAGCATCCATTTCATCAAATACAATTATATGTAAATCACTATCATCTCCTAAAGTTTCTTAATCCTTTATTGCATCTTCAAATAATTTTCTAATATTTTCCTCTGCTTCTCCTACAAATTTACTAAATATTTCTGGTCCATTAACAATCTTTGGAGGTCTAGCTCTCAAAACTTTTGCTAATTATCTTGCAATCAATGTTTTTCCTGTTCCAGGTGGACCATATAATAATAATCCTTTAATATGTTTAATCCCATATTTCTCTAAAAATTATTATGGAAATCTTCTTGATGAAAATGCTCTTCTAAATATATTTGCTAATTCTTTATCAAGTCCTCCTACTCCTAATTTATCAAAATTAAAATCTTCTCTAAATAAATTTGTTTATTTCTTTTATACATTTTTCATCTTTATTTAAGATATACCAGATCTTACACTAAATTCTATTTCTGTTTCATCAATCAACATTCCTCCACCTCCAAATCTTACTAAATTTGAATCTACTCCAACATTCAAATTTTCTGTTCTTGTTACCTATCATTGTAATTAAATTACTTTGATTAAATAATTATTCTCATTATTTTGAAATAATTACACCTAACCAGTCTTAAAAAATTATCCCTTAAATTAACTTTTAAATGCATTAGCAAATTCATCATCATCTAATTCCAATTAATTTCCTCCATTTTAAATTTATTATATATCAATCTCTAAATTCAATACTCCTAATCTATACACTTTATCTCTAGGCAATTTGAATACTTGTAATTCAACATCTTAATTAATTGTCATTTCTAAAAATTCTCTTTAATATCTGTTTGCAGCAATCTCATTCATTCTATATTCTCTATCCTATTATTATATTCATAATTAAGTAATACTCCTTCTAATATAAATGTGTAACCATTCAATAACACAAAAAGTTTTTCACTTTCAACTATTTTATTCTCTTTTTTTAATTTATCAACTTAATCAATTGAGCCATACATTAAACCTGTATAAGCTTGTTAAGGATTTCTTAATTGTGTTGATTATAGTGTTAACTTCATTTTATTTATTGATTTCTCTTATAATTTTACTTTATAAAAAAAAATTTTATTCTATTAGACTAAACCTACTATCAATTCAATATATTCTATTTAATTATATTTGTTAAGAAAATTAAATTAACAATTAAATTAATTCTAATAACTTGATATATAAATATAATTAATACTGCATATTAAAAGTAATAGATGAATAATTCAATAATGAAAGTAACAATATAGGATTAAAACAAAAAATAATGGATGATGGAAAAGTAAAAATAAAAATATTAAAAATAAATATATTTAAAATTTAAGAGCTACATAAAATTAACTTATTAGTTTGAAATAAAGTGTTTATAGGGGCATAACTAAATTTCTAAATTCGAATTGATTTTTGATAGTTAAAACTAATTGAATAGAAGAATTGCTAATATCTAATAAGTTAAGTAATTTAGTATTATTCATTTATATTGATATCCACCTGTTTATTTAAACTACAATTAGCAAATAATTATCGAAATAATAATATACTTTCAATATTAAAGAGTATATAATATTTATAAGCACCAAATAATTAAATTGATTTTTTTGCAAATCGTATTTGATTGATAAATAGGATTTTTATTAAGGTGCAAATTGTTATCTAAATTTCAATTTCATTATTTAGGAAATTAAACTTATTTCTCTTGATCTTTTAATATTTATAAAAAATAATAACCAAATAATCATTGAATATTATATTTTAAAGATATTGGAATGTATCTGAAAGGCACATTCATTAAGAGATCTTAGTTATTCTCTTAAAAGTTCAAATATGATACCTAAAAGATTTATAAGAAAATAGATAAATTAAATTTATCAAGATTGCAATATATTTGAAAAAATAAAGAATCTTAGTAGAATATAATTAAAGTAATATAGAATTTTTATTTTCTACACCAAAAATCCTTTTGCCAAATATTTATTATCATTTCTTCTTAGAGAAATATAAATATTATCCATTTTTTGAAGAACAACGTAATAGTATTGACTTATTTAGAAATAGATAATAATGAAACATTGGATCTTATTTAGATAGATTTTCAATTCTTTATTAAAGTAGAATGAACTTATTGAGTAATTAACTAAATAAATAGATAATAATCAATCTAAGAAATAGTCAAACTTATATAATTGAATAGAATATGAGAAATTAGGATGACTTGATATATTGAGTACATAATAAGTATTGTATGATAAACAAGTTTATGAATTGTTAGAGAATTGAAATACATAAAACAAACATTAAGAGTAGTCATGAATATCTGCAATGGAATGAAAATTAAGATTTAAATATTTTTTAAATAATGGTTATCAAGACAGATTTGTGCTCCTTTAGTGAATGGAGAATCTATCCCGGACATGGAAGAAGATTCGTAGCCAAGGATGGCAGACTCTTCTATTACTTGAATTAAAAGAGCAGAGCTTTTAGTGCAAGAAAAGTAGTCAATCTCTAAATATTTAGATTAAATCTCAAGAAATCTAATGGACTGTTGCTTGGAGAAGATTAAACAAAAAGATTAAGACAGATGAAGGAGCTAAAAAGAGAAGAATTAGAAATCTAAAAGTCTAAAGAGCTATTGTTGGTATATCATTGGAAGAAATCAGAAGAAGAAGAAAGGAAGATGACAGTAATGCATATTCTCATAATATTTAGAAACTAGAAAGGCATAAGCTGAATAAGCTGCAAGAGAAATTAAGGATAGAAAGTAAAAGTAAATTGAAAATCAAAAGAAGAAACCAGCTGCAGCATAAAAAGTTGCATAAAAAGCTGAAGTCAAAGCTCAACAAAAAGCATAAAAAGGTGCTGCAAAAGCCAACAAAGGTAAAAAATGATTCTTACAATATAACATCAAATACATATATATATATTTATAAGATTATAATTAATTTTATATTTTTCAATGGAAGAATTATGTTACACCATTCTTGGAATGGGTTTAGGAATTGTTGTATAACAAATACATGAAAAGTTATCCAAAAAATAAAAGTAGAATAAGACACAATAATAGAATAAGGGAACAAAGAAATATTTACCATCTACTCCAGATATGAAAAAAGCATATCAAGAACAAAAATAAAACTTTCTAATTCGATAAGCATCTTAATAAGAAGTGGGTGATACAATTAGAAAGATTGTCAAAATTTAAGGCAAAATTTCAGGGTTTGATAATGATGATGAATTAAACTAAATATAAGATTCATAAGAAGAAATTAAAGAAGATGATGACTCATAATAACATTCTCTAGATAAAGCATTCTAGCCAAAAACACCCAATTTTTAAAGTAAAACCTCTACCTCTTAAAATATTACTTTGGTCACAACTAGTTAAGTTGTTTCTGGTGAATTATCTTTGGGATTATTATAATCTAATTAGTTTAGCGATAGTAGTATTATTTTATCACTAAATAAGAAAAAAATATATCTCCTCCTGGTGAAAGTAAGGAATAAATAATAATTAGCAGTGATCCCGAATGATGATTATAATATACATTTTAAATATAAAATCTTATATATTTTGTTTAATCAATAAAGAAAAAAGGTTTCCATATATGAATAATGTATTCAATTATTGATATCATTATGGTCAAATTACAAATAATTTAAGCCTTCTCATTAAAGCAATTTTCTGATGCTGTGGCTTATATTATAATTAATTACGTTATTTTATTAATTAAAATAATGAATTATCAAGAATTAGAATAACATCAAAGTAGAAAACAAATTACTCTGAATGATGCTATGTTTACAATATTTAAAAGAGCAATGATAAAGAGTCCATGTTTTATCCCATTTATAATTATAATGACTCTCTTATTTGCTATTGGAATATTGCATGAGACTGGCATTAAACCAATTCATGAAATTTTTCCTCTTGGAGGTACAACAGGTGAATTCTTGAAATCTGAATAGATGTGAAAAACAATTGATAAAAATTATAAAAAAATTTTAATATTACTTTCTTTTGAAAATTATTTAAAGTATTATTTAAAATTCCCAAATATTGATTCTAGATTTATATTCTATCAATATCTTATTTTTTTAATATATGAAGTGATTTAATGTTTAATATAAAATCTTCGTTTATTTATACCTTAAACTAATCTCATTTACAAGTGTTATCGTATTCAAAATATCCTTATCAGTTCTAGATAATTCATTTCAATCAAGAGGATCATTATAAGATTCTAAAAAAGTTGAATACAAGTATTATAAATATATAAGATAACTTTAATTATATAATTTGCAATATTATAGTTAAATATAATTGTTAACACATATGAATCAATAAAAAACAGTATTTGTTATAAATTAATATTCATAGTAGATAAAACAAAAAAGTAAACTTATTTTTTTCAATATTTTTAGATGCAATAAAACAAATGATTATGAAATGTTAACTTTATTTCTTTTAAATGGATATATTCAAAAGTTTTAATTTAATAAAATTGATTGATTGATTGATTGATTTAAAAGTTATATTAATAAATATATGAGTATAATTAATATTGCCTTTTTTGGATTATTTGGAGCTATTATCATTTATTATCTGTATATGAATTCTTATGGTAATTAAATTCCTTTTGAATTATCATAAATTCAAGAATAGGAATTAGAAGCTCGTAAAAAAGAGAGCGGAAATAAAAACTATAAAATTCCTAATTTATTTTTTGTGACTCCTTGGTAATTTATAATTGAATTATTAGGAATAAGGAAGGATATAGATTAACAATTAAATATGCATAAAAATTAGATATGATTAGTCCAGCATGGTTTAGTATTAGATATAATAATGTTATTGATGGTAAGTAGACAGTAAATGAATAGTGGATGTAAGAAATAGTCTAAGCAAATCCTTAAATTGCAATAATTCCTAGAGTATAAATAGAATTACAAGAAAGTTCATTTATTTAACAAATCAATAATCCATAATTATTGGAAACAATAATAAATTTAGTGTAATATTATTCAAATAAATTTCATGGAATTATGATTGATACACCTTTTATATCATATATTGACACTTTTGATGCATAAGATATAGTTAAATTTCTTCAAAAATTAAAAGCCAAACTTGGTAATAAAATGTTAGTTTTAACATTATATGGTATTTACAATTCTCAACAATATAAGCATTCTACTCTAAGAAAGTTATTGAAATTAGCAGATTATACTTTAATATAAACATATGATTATTAGATAAAAGTTGAAGAGGATCTAATGTTATCACCATATTCATGGATTTAAGATAATTTAGAATATTTTATGACTTACAAAGAGAAATTGTTATTCGTAATAATAATTGTATTATAAAATATAGGGAATTCCTTTTTATGGATTCAAAAAAACTGAATAAGATACTACACATTTTATGGGTAGCGAATTATTAAAATTGAATGCATCCAATTTTATAACAGAATGGAATAAATCTACTTCTGAATGTATATACAAAAATGATTAAATTTCTATTTCTTATCCTTGTCCTGATTTTCTTATATATAGATTATAATTAATAAAAAAATTTGGAAGAGGATACTTTGTTTGGGAAGGAGGACAAGGTATAGAACTGTTTTATCAACTTTTATGATATATAAATTAGTATTCATATTGATATAATTATATATATTTACAAAAATTACAATTTGAAATTTAAATGGACCGCAATTTATAATCTTGTTTCTAACAATTTCAAGTTAAAAGAAATCAAAATTTTTTATATCAAAAGTATGTCAATAAAGTACTTACTAAATATAAATATAGACTAATAAAGAGAAAATGGCTGATGAAGAATTAAGATAGAAATTCATTGCATAAGCATACAAATATGTTGGAGTTCCCTATCATAGTAGATATCATGATGAAACTTCTCCTCATTATAATGCTCCTCTATATTTAGATTGTTCTGGATTGATTAGATAGGTAATTTATGATCTAAGAGAATACTTTGGGTTTACTTTAGGAAAATGGAATTAAGCTTATTAATATGATTTACTTGATAAAGAGATTGAATTATAAGATATGAAACCTGGGGATCTAATATTTCTCTCTGGAACTTACTATGATAAATCTTGTAGGGCTTTCCAACATAATATTGTTCATGTTGAAATTTATCTAGGTGGGGAAAGAACTATTGCTGCAAGATGGTAAAAAGGTACAGTTTAAGAATTTGAAACATACAAATTTGAATCATAAAATTACTATGATATTAAATATCATTTTAAATCTATATAACCTTGGTTAGAAGGAAGATGTGAAAGTTTTTGTGCAGAACATCCTTGGAGAGATGATAGAAATATATGGGTTAGTGATAAGTATTCAGTTTTTGCTAAGAATTTATAATAAGTATTACCTGCTGATTTTGTTCATAAATAAAGGGTGTATGTTGGATAAGGTAACAATGCAGAATTAATTAAATCCTATTTCAGAAATAAAAATTATGAATTAATGGATACTCTATAAGATGCTTTTAAAAATGATTATTTCATTAAATGGGTATAATGTCCTTAAAGTATTAATTATTATGAATTCAAACCAGGATAATAGATAGTATAATTATTTAACTATCATAATAGATAAATCATATACCTAAAGCATCTCATAATTTAGGACTCAAAATATCAATGTTAGAATTGTTAAGAGAAAATTAATGTGAAGATGTTTTGCCTAAGACATATAGATTAAATCAAATTACTGAAGTTATTGAATTTTTAAAAGACAACGAAGAAGGTATATGGATATTGAAACCTTATAATTTAAATTGTGGTAGAGGAATCAAATTCATTAGTGATATTGCCAGATTTAAATAGGATCTCCATTAAAAAAGACAATATCAGATAGGAGACTATTATAAAGTATATGTAGAAAATGAAAGGAACAAACTAAAATAAGAAATTCAAGATCATTTGGGAATCAAAGAAAATGTTGATCCTGAATAATAATTAAAATATGATGACATTAATCCAATGTCCATTATATAAAAATATATTGAAAAACCTCTTTTGTTAGATGGTAGAAAATTTGATATAAGATGTTATGCTTTGATTGCTTAAGTTAAACCATATACAGTACTCTTTCATCATGGATATGCTAGATTAAGTATTTTTGAATACAGTTTAGATGATATTGAAAATGAATAGAATAAAATTATTCATCTCACCAATAATGCTATTTAAAAAACTCATCCAAAATATAAAGAAAAAAAAGAAAGTTCTATATGGACTATGAATCATTTAGAAGAATATTTATAAAATTTTTATCATTATTAAGAAGATCAAATTAAATCAATTAGAGAATAAATTAAATAAATTTCTCATAGAATCTTTAAAGCTGGATAAAAAAAAATTCAAGCTGGAGGACAAAAAGGAGAATTTGAATTATTTGGACTTGATTTTATAATAGATTCAAATCTTAAAGTTTACTTTTTAGAAGCTAATATTAATCCAGCCTTATTTACTGAAAATCCAAATCTTAAATAGATTATTCCTTCAGTTGTTGAATAAACATTAGATATAGTTTTAGCTATTTAAAATAATTAATAATATTAATTGGGAACATTTGAAGAATTAATAATTGAATGATATTGATTTCATAATTAAAATATATTGTATAAATTATAAAGCATCAAATCTTCTTTATCTTTACTTATCTCTTTAAGAGATTAGAAATTTTAAAAAATCCCTTAGGATTCCAAATAATATTCTCTTTAAGTTTCTGATAATAATGGAATAATATCATAAAGAGGAAATCTATAATAAAATATATTAATATTTACAATTAATTTTATAATCCATATTAAATTACTAAATCTAATTCCTCTTCTCTCTTTTATTGAGATAATTTAATAGCTAAATCTTTAATATATTTTTCTTTATTATCAGCTACTGTTAACATCACTTGATCTATTAAATCTAACTAAATATTAACATTTTTATTACAGTTAATTAAGTTTCATTTAAATTATGATCCAATTCTAAAGTTAAACGTTCGTGTAAATCCATATTTAAATATTAAACCTAATCGATTGCATTTTTGGCAATAAACATTTAAGCAATCAATTTTTACATTTTTTAATCCAATTTACTTGCATTATCAACACATTTTGAAAAGTCATCCACTTATAAATTTATCTTTTAATATTAGATACTAATACACAAAACTCAAGTAAAGCATGCTTCAAATGAATAAAAGAAATTTCTTGTGCTTAATTAATGACAATAAGTTTACTATCATGAATCATCAACTAAAATATATTATTACTAATTAATTACAATTTTTAATTATCCATTTGGTCTGACCTGTATTTCAGGGTATTAACCATCAAGTTAATTAGCTTTTAAAAACTCACAACTTTAAAGTTAATTTTATGGTGGATCTAATTAGGCTAAAGTAATTGTAATAGCAACTTAATTTACAACAATTACCATCTTAATTTGAGTTTAAGTGACATAAAATAATAAATCTTCCCAGAAATAACTATCAGTAATTTATTCAAATTCAGTTAAAATAGGAATAAACTATCCATTCTATTTCATAAGAAGAGAAAAAGTCTTTTCATATTAAAATAATAAAAAGGTCTCATTAATATTGCTAGTTACATTTAATGGAGATATAAACTAATTACCAAATGGAATCAATTGGTTATTTTAAAATTAATAAAATTAACCATGTTTCATTTTAAGTTGTTTAATTTCTGCTTTTAATTTTTAGTCTTCTATACTACATTCAGAATTTGTAACAATAAAATAATAACTTTACACACCAAAGACTTTTTCAGGTTATGGTAAATTATTTATTGTGGCTTTCAAAAACATAGCCTATTTTTTTGTGTGATCAAAACCATAAATTTAAATTACAAAATTTACAATGTTTGAAGAATAATTGTAAATATTTCTGGAAAATGTTTTTTAATTAAAAAATCC